TGTGTTTTATATTTATCTTTGGGTCCCAATACTAGCAAATTACTTGGTACATCAATGTTGATATCCTCGGTAAATGTAGAGCTAATGAATGAAGAGCCATTTGATGTAGATCTTAGAAAATTATAAAAATAAGATTTTGGTAAAGAAATGAATTAAGGATGGTGTATAATTTGAAGGCAGCAGTATTAGGTAGACCCAGATGAAAAAAAATATAGCAATAATAAGTTGAGTTTTTCAACTAGCATGTAAATGTATATAAATAGTATTGGTGGAAATAAGACTGAAAGGCAAGATGTGGTTTTAAAATTTATGTCTTAAGTAACAGGGAAACCTTTGAGAATTTAGCATGAGATTGATTTGGTCATATTATGTTTTAAAAAATTAATTTGGTAGCAGAATGGATTAGTAGGGAGAGAGATCAGTTATGAAACTTCTTTTTCTTACACAGCAACTGCATAAAAAAGGGAGTTGGTGGTAGAAATAGGAGTTGGATATATGAATCCTGACTTTGCCACTTAAGTTCATAGTCAAATCATTAAACACTCTGTGTGTCTCTCATTGCACCCCTTTTTTTTCTTGTGGTACTGGGGATTGATCCCAGGGATGCTCTACCACTGAACTGCACCCCCTGCCCTTTGTATTTATTTTGAGACAGGGTAAAGCTAAATTGCTTAGGGCCTAAGTTGCTGAGACTGGTCTCAAACTTGCAGTCCTTCCTTTTGCTTCAATCTTCTGGGTTTTGGGAATTACAGGTGTGTACCACTGCACCCAGCTCAGTTTTCTCATCTATACAACAAGCTGGTTAACTTGTTATGACAGCCAAAGTCTTTGCCAGTTCCAAAATCTGTTGTATTTTGTAAGAGAGTCAATGGGTCTTGGCAAATGATTGGATGGTAGGTACAGAAGGAAGTTTAAGAGATACCTTTTGAGGTTTTGAGCCAGATGAATCGGAAATAGTACTGCTACCCACAGAGTGTTAATTGGGTATTTCTAGCATACCTAGTGGTAAAACTAGAATCTTTAAAAATAAGAAATCTAAGGCCAAATTTGATCTTTCTAGTTTGCATTTGTCGTAGATTACAGAAATTAGGATTTCAATGTTAAGGATAGTGACTTTTCAGAAGAACTAGTGGTCAGGAGGGAAGCAAATTTTTTTTTTTTTTTTTTTTAAGTAACAATTTCCTTTGGGGGATTTAACCTTATCATCTTTCTGGGGATTTGCGGGGAAATTATTTGTTGTATCAAGTGACATTGCAAAGTGGACAGTTACCAATATGTCAAACAGACTATTTCGAGAAAAATAAGGGTGGGAGACTGGGTTTGGGGGTAGAGGATATGTGTTTTGGGGAGGTAGAGGACCAGGATGTTAGAGGGTATCCGAGTTAAGTTTCTAGAAAGCAGTGCTGCTGCTGAAGGGTTAAAGTGTCAAGAATGCAAGCCAGCTCTATGGGTTGTGGTAGAAAGAGTGCTTTATATTTTGAGAGTAAAAAGCTCCATATACCAGCCACTGTACTAACTCCTACAGTGCAGGGAGGATTTGGCACCTTATACTGTGCAGTGGGATAAGGTATAGTCACTACAGTAAAGGTGTTGACAGGACTGCTGGAAGGCCAGGGTTCCAGAGGGAGGCGGAGCTGGCCTAGTGCGGAACCCTCCCTCCGGAGTTTTATACTCTTAGGTGTGCAGAATACGGTGTAGGTACGTGGTAGGGAATTTAATCCTCAGGACCGATTTCTTGCACCGAGAGACCGAGATCGTTCTACGGGCCAGCCCCCCCGCCCCCCCCCCATTTTTTTTTTTTTTTTTTTTTTTTTAAAGCAAGCTGCAGGCTTCGCCTGGGCCCTAGAAACCGGATAGGCCTCTCCGTGCGCTCTCAACCTAACCTGCGGAGGAGGGGGAGGGGGAGTTCTTTCTAGTCCCACCCTTTGCGCTGTTTTGCGTCTCTGCGCCTGAAGTGAGTGGCAGTGGGCTTCAGCCAATGAGAACACGGGGCGGGCAGGAGCATCAAGTTAGGTTGCGCAGGAGGAGGGGGAACTGGTGCTGGAGAGACAGCGAGAGGGGCGAACCGGCCCCCCACGGCCGCTGCAGGTAAAGCCACCTCTCTCTCCCACTGGGTGAGGCACAGCTCATTTTCTCTCTCAGGGGTTGTTGGGCCCCTCAGCCTGTACTTCGTCCTAACGTTGCTTCTACCCAAGGCATCCACACCCCCACCCCCCCGCATCTTTTCCTCTTGGCCACCCCACCCTGGAGGGCACCCCCCGCTAGCTCTCTCCCTCAAGTGCATGTACCTCATCTCCATTTTGGGGGCGCCAGTTGTCTGAAATCTCCCGCCTATGCTGCGGGCCTTATTGGCACGAACCCTGGCAGTATGAGCAGGTAATGTACCCGGGTCACCCCCACCCCCACCCCCAGTTGCGTTTTCCTCTCCATCAACCTCTTACTTCCTTACCTGATTCCTTCTTTTTCCCTGTATAAGTGCATAATTTCTGTAGTTTCTCCTTTACCTCCTGAAAAGACATGATTTTAGTTTTCATAGTTGCCTATTTTGCTTTTCCTATTTATAAGGAAGGTTTTACTTTACCAGCCATATTTGCCCCAAATGTCCATAACCCGATTGATGGGTTAGTGCTTTCTCCATTAGTAATTGGAAAACAGTAGACATACATTTGGTAGTGAGGATGGTGAAGATAGAGAAAATGGCCTACAATCTTGGCCTTTTTGAGGCAGTCTGAGTGGCTTCAAGTTAATAGTTCTTTTTTTTTTTTTTTTTTTTTTGGTCTGTGTCCTTCCATCCTGATCCTTTCTTGACCCTAACTTGTGATTGCATTCACTTTGGATGTTTATTTGCCATTTCTGAATAAGATTTGAGACTTTGTGGGGTCTCATAAGTATCTCCATGGTATAGTTTGTAAGTGCTTCCACTCTAAAATTACATTGGGTATTTTTATTTTAGCCCTTCTGATTATTTTACTTTAAAGGGATTTCTCATTTAGATTAAGCTGCTTCTGCCCATCTTGTGATTCAATAACCTGTGTGTATATCTATCTGCAGCTGATCCTCTTGAAAAGGATACAGTTTCCAACAACAAGATTTACACTTTGAAGTAAAATAGTTTATTCTTTTCTGAATCTTTGGGCAGCTAGAAATTAAGTGGGCATGAGAGGTACTTTCTAAAAGTGCATATTACAGAAAAAGGTCAGTATTGCTCAATATGGCATTTGTTTGTTATTGTTTAAGAGGATGGCCAGTACAAGGAAATCTGTAATGGAGAATGAATGTCTGTGGTTCAGTTTATATAATTTTATCTATTAGACAATGGAATAATCTCTGTTGCAGTGTTTCTCATCCATCAAACAGTGAACTATGATAAACTCCCTTTTGAGAAACCATAAAAACCTATTTCAGAGATGTTGATAACCTTTTCAAGCCAGCCATGCTGCTTTCTCTGTTTTAACCTCTCTTAACCCCCATCTTAGTTTTTACAGATTCTCACAGGTTAGCAAGATTTTGTTCAATTTTACCAAATAAAGTAACCTAAACAATGAAATGTAAAGCTACAAATATAAAACTACAGTACTGAACACATTTTAAAACTACATTTATATCTCTCCCCCTACTCCAACCTCCACTTCCTATAAGCTTTTCCAAAGGGATGTGTCCTCCATTCCATAGTTGAGAATCATTGCTATGTTGAAAGATATGGAAAAATTTAGAATAGAATTAACATAAAATCCTTTGTGATAGAACAGGCAAGTTGTTATAGAAATGGGCCAGGATGAGGCAAAATATAAACCAAGGACAAGAAGCTGGGCATGGTGGGGCACACCTATTATCCCAGAGTCACAGGCAAATTGGGATGTTGAGGCAGGAGGATCCTAGGCACCTAAGTGAGATCCTGTCTCAAAACATAAAGAATTGGAGATGTAGCTCAGTGGCAGACCACCATTAAGTTCAATCCCCAGTATTGCAAAAAGAAAAAAAAAGCAAAAGCAGTAAAACAAGAACTGTATTAAATATGTAACATAGCTTCAGAAGAATATCAGTTTATATTTACTTCCAGGGGAAAGAGTGGTGCCTCTTGAAGGAATCGAGATGAAGGGTATTATTGATATATATGCAGTAACTGGGTTATTTGGAGATTATAGATTTGTAGACTTAAATTTCAACCTTAACTGACTTCCTGTTCGTTCCTTTTCTCTACTCTCATCCCCTAGGATCTCTGTCATGAGTCTGGACATTAATTTAGAATTATGAAAAATAACCTAAGTACAACTACTAAATTCTTACCTCCTTTTGAGCACATGCATATTTCTGTCTGTTTTGGGCAATGGTAGGACAAGACTGACCTTTTTTTTTTTTTTTGTACTAGGGGTTGAACCCAGGGGTGCTAAGCTACATTCCCTAGCTCCTCACTTTTTTTAATGTGTGTGTGTGTGTTTTTGTTTTTCTGTTCTGTTTTGAGACAGGGTCTTGCTACATTGCTTAATACCTTGCTAAATTGCTGAAGGTGGCCTTGAACTTGGGATCCTCCAGCCTCAGCCTCCCAAGTCACTGAGATTACAGGCACATACCAGTGTGCCTGGTAACTTCATTCTTAATATGATAAAAGTGTGGTATGACTTCATTATCTGGGCAGTTGTTTTACCATAAAAGCCGCTTAACATCTATTTATTTTTATTACCAGGATTTGAACCATGGAAAGAGAATTCATGACTAGAATTCTCTATGGTAAAATAGGCCAGACATGTATACAGTCAAGATGACCCATAAGAAAAGAAAGAGGGAGTGAAGAAAAGATTTTTGGGGTCAAAGGTTTAGTCTTGTAAAAATCAAGGACAGTTGAAAATGAGAACTAGAAAAGAAATAGAAGACTAGGATAAAAAATGCCTATGAATTAATTAGGTCAGTGGAAGTGAGTTGCGACTGTGAAGTAGTGATACTTGGAATTATGACATTAAATCACTGACATTTTTTTTTTTTCTTTTAAATTATTGGCCTAGACTGAACCAGTAGAAGCAGACGTTTGGCCCAAAAATTGGGTAAGGAGAGGTAAATGATAATACATTGACCTTTAAAAGTTTATGCTCCTCCCTCCCATGGGGGTAAGGAAATATTTCAGAAACTGTTAACCTTGTTTCTGCGATTAAAAAGTGAGATCTCTGAGATTGAGCCATTATGGGGGCAAGGAAGAACATAGATGAATAAGTAGCAAGGACTTGTGAAGGGGACAAAATACCCCGTGGAAGAAAGGACAGGTTCTAAACTATTATGAATACAAACTTATAGTTAGTGGAAACTTGGTCAGTAGTTTTTGTATGACACTTAACAGTAGACATTTAGTATAACTTCTGTGACTTTAAGTAGGAGATAAAAGATAAGTGGCAGAGTAAGACATAATTAGTAAAAAAAGGGAAAAAAAAGTCAGTGGTAGTAGTTTTAAGGAAATTTGTAAAATTGTTGAATAGATTTTCATTAAGAAACATCCATGACTTTTCTCATCACCATTTGAGTAATTTGAGGGCCAATATTAAGAGAGGCTGAAAGAGCTGCTGGAATAATTTAGCCAGTAGTGAGTAGTAATATTGATCTTGAAATGTGAAAGTATACAGTTATTGAAGCTAGGAAGATCTTGTTTAACATTAGTGGAGGGGCCGGGGTTGTGGCTCTGGGGTAGAGCACTTGCCTAGCATGTGTGAGGCACTGGGTCCGATCCCCAGCACCACATAAAAATAAAAACAAATAAAATAAAGGTATTGTGTCTATTTACAACTAAAAAAAAAATGTTAAAAAAGAACATTAGTGGAGACACCTTTTATGCTTTGTAATTTTGACTAATGTCCCAATAGCTGATATGCCATCTAATGATGAGTCTGTTCTCTTTATGTCAAAGCTTCTGGGCTATTGAGTCACATTATATTGCTTTGTAAGGACAACTGAGATGGGCTGGGGAAAGGAAGAAGTACAGCTTGGGGGTTACATGGAAAAGTCTTCTTCAGTGAAGTCTATACTCTCTCTCTAACAAATTTCTTATTTATCCTCCAAAAGTTAGGAGAAATAGTCTTATCAAGTAAGGCTTTCCTGAATTGTCACATTGACATCATAGACAAAGAACAGATACTCCTTTTTCATGTATTTTGATTACATGGTGATATAATTCCTTATCTTTTGCCAGATGTGGTGGCTCACACCTGTAATCCCAGCAACTCTGGAGACTGAGACAGGAGGATCCGAGTTCAAGACCAGCCAGGGCAACTTAGCAAGACCCTGTCTTAAAATAAAAGGGCTGGGGATGTAGTTCAGTGGTAGAGTGCTCCTGGATTCAATTCCTAATTCTATCCTCTGTCTCCCACCCCACCCCCCAAAAAAAGAAAGAAAAGGAAAACTCCTTGTCTTTAGTAGTTTTCTTTTTTCCATTATTTTTTCATGAATTTAAAACCCTAGATATAGATTTTATAAACATAATTTCAGCCATTTGTAGGACAGTTTGAAGATGAGCTTTACTGTCGATTATCAGAACTAAGAAGTGCCATTTAGTTTTTTCGAGGACTGAATGGTTTATTTCAAATAACATTTACCTCGTCTCATTATTAATATTTCAGCTTCTCATAAGCTAAGCTATGGTGGAGGGTTATACAGGGAATACATTGCACACATTCCTAATCATCATTAGTTTTTAATGTAATTATGGCAGTGCTCCAGCATATGACAGACAAGCACCTTGAGAAGCAGACAGGTTTTTTAATTTGCATGAAGAGATTATTTGGGCTTTTAGAGGATATAGATAAGAAACTCAAATCATTTTAGTAAAATGTTAATATAAATGCTTTTAATAGGGTATAAACCCAGAAAAACAAAATAAAACTTTTTTTAAAAAATGTGTAAATAATGGTATGGATGTTTAAAGGAGGTGAAAGGATCAAATCATTACATATTGTTCAGTTATTAAAGACAGATTTTCAGGGCTCACTTTATGGAATAGAAGAGCTTTGAGGGTAGATAATGTTTCAGCTATGAGAGATGTTTGAGGTAAGGACGAAGGGGTGAAGAACGATGTGTACCACACAAATGCTATAGCATAATAGGCAAAGTCATGCAGGTCCGAATCACATTAAGGGAACTACAATGATTGGAATGTAGAATGTGTGCAAGAAATGGCAAGAGAAAAATGGAAATATAAACTGGAATTAAAATGTTGAATCCCTTGCAAAGGAAGTTTTTGGTCTTTTATGAGAAAGGTTTCTTAAGGAGACATTAGAACAAAATGCTATGTATATGTTAATTGACGTGTTAACTAGGACAAAATTTGAAAAAACTTCCTGGGTAAAATTGTACTACAAGCTTGGTAAAAGGTCTCTATTTTGGCCAGTAAATTCAAGGAAAATTTATAAAATAAACTATATCAGAATTCTTTATCTACCTTCATGGGAATGCTAATGGTATATTTTTGAGTTCTGCCAGTTTAAGAGCTGAAAATAAAAGGTGAATGATTACTGAATTTCCTAATCTCTACGTAAGAAAAGTAATTGTAAAAGGAAGTAGACAGAAACAGCTGAATACTCTTGACAGCAGCTTTAAAGTGTATAGGTATAAAAGCCCCAAAAGGGGATGGTTTATTTCTTTTCTAGTTTTCATTTTGAAGCAGAAATGTGGGTATTCTTTCTGCTATATATCTATCCTCATATTTCCTCATGTTTACCTCTTCTCATTATTTAATGCTATTTAATAGTAAGGATGGTACCCAAGGAGACATTTTCTCTTGAGGTCACCAACTTTGCTTATTTTTCATTTGTATTTGTATTCCCACAACAGGAGTTCCATCATCTTCCTCAGAAGACCTAGCCATCTTGCTCCATGAAGGTCAGGACAATCTGACATGCACTTGTTTCTTGCCTCTTTACTTGAAGAGTAGTAGTCTCTTCCATTGTGTACATTTTTTTCTTAATAGGGGAGGGGAGGGGAGAACCAATACCCCCCCTCCCCTTCCCTCCTTAGCCTGTGAGGAAATACCCTCCATTATTTTCCTAAGATGGCAGACCCCATCATGGATCTGTTTGATGACCCAAATTTATTTGGCCTGGACTCTCTGACTGATGACAGCTTTAACCAGGTCACCCAAGACCCCATTGAAGAAGCCCTTGGACTGCCAAGCTCTTTGGACTCCTTGGATCAAATGAACCAGGATGGTGGAGGTGGTGATGTGGGGAGTTCATCAGCAAGTGACCTGGTCTCCGCACCAGAGGAAACAGCCCCCACAGAACTTCCCAAAGAATCCACAGCTCCAGCTCCAGAATCCTTAACCTTGCATGATTATACCACTCAGCCCACCAGCCAGGAGCAGCCAGCCCAACCTGTCTTACAGACATCAACGTCAACATCTGGACTTTTGCAGGTCTCCAAGAACCAGGAGATCCTGAGCCAAGGGAATCCTTTCATGGGTGTCTCTGCCACAGCTGTCTCCTCCAGTAGTGCTGGAGGACAACCACCTCAGTCAGCCCCTAAGATTGTTATCCTTAAGGCCCCACCAAGTTCCTCAGTCACTGGTGCCCATGTGGCACAAATTCAGGCTCAAGGTATCACCAGCACAGCTCAGCCACTCGTGGCTGGCACAGCCAATGGTGGAAAAGTCACTTTTACCAAAGTGCTAACCGGCACGCCCCTTCGACCAGGTGTTTCCATTGTCTCTGGTAATACAGTGTTGGCCGCCAAGGTCCCTGGGAACCAGGCTGCTGTTCAGCGCATTGTCCAGCCCAGCCGACCAGTAAAACAGCTGGTCCTCCAGCCAGTTAAGGGTTCAGCTCCTGCTGGAAACCCTGGGGCCACAGGGCCCCCACTGAAGCCTGCAGTTACACTGACCTCTACACCTACCCAGGTGACTTGAGTGAAAGGGGGAGGTGAATTTTGGTTTCATAGAGGGCCCAGCAACTCAGAGAACACACATGAAAGCTATCTCTGGGAAAGTCTGTTTAAAGTCCATCTTTGCTTTTTATCAGTGCTGACAGGGACATACATACTTATTATTTTGTAGGCAGAAGTGGTTAATGTTATCATACATTTTAACATTATGTTTATAGTGTGCCTAGCTGGTGCCAATCCCTGTCTTTAAAGAGTTTGCAGTCTCTTTAAGGGTTAGGGTTAGCTTGCAGTCTCATTAAGGACAGCAGGCCCTTTCTACTGGGAAAGACATTAAGCAAGAATTCACAATCATTTATGATATGTTTTATGAAAAATATAGAATGCTATGGGAACACAGAAACATCTTTGAAAAATCATTTATTTGCAAAACTTGTAAAAACTATATATATATCTTTCTTCTATTTTTATTACTAAGATTGTCCCCCTCCTACTTTATCCAATTACTTTCCACTATAAGAAAGCAGATACTCTAGCCAGGCATGGTGGTGCCCGCCTGCAATCCCAGTGGCTCAGGAGGCTGAAGCAGGAGGATCATGAGTTCAAAGCCAGCCTCAGCTGCTATTTAGCGAGATCCTGTCTCAAAATATAAAAAGGGCTGGGAATGTGACTCAGTGGTTTAGCGCCTCTGGGCTCAATTCCTGGTACCAAAAAAAAAAAGAGAAAAGAAAAGCAAGCAGATGCTCTGTAACCTCTGAATAAAAAGCCAAAAGAATTATGGGGTGGACGATATTAAGATAAGTAGAACTTAAAGGGGCAGATTTCAGTTCAATATAAGGACTTTTATTTTAACAGATTCCTAAAATGAAGTGACTGCCTTAGAAGATAGCTTCCCATCAGAAGTTTTTAAAAAATGGCTTGATACCCATTGAGCAGAAATGTTATAGAAAAGATTCTATCAGGACAGATAGGAGGATGAACAAATGTCTTCTGATCCTTAGTTATGAATCTAGGATGAAGAAAACTGGTAAAAACATTTCAGGTTTTACCATTCTTTAATTTTGTACCTCTCTTGCAATTTCTTTCCTTCACTGTAGGGTGAATCGAAACGCATCACCCTGGTCCTCCAGCAGCCACAATCTGGAGGTCCCCAAGGACATCGGCATGTTGTGCTAGGGAGTCTACCAGGCAAGATAGTGTTACAGGGCAATCAGCTGGCAGCCCTGACTCAAGCCAAGAATGCCCAGGGGCAACCTGCCAAAGTAGTCACTATCCAGCTGCAGGTGCAGCAGCCACAGCAGAAAATCCAGATTGTACCACAGCCTCCATCATCCCAGCCCCAGCCCCAGCAGCCACCCTCAGCCCAGCCATTGACTCTCTCCTCTGTGCAGCAGGCTCAGATAATGGGACCAGGACAAAGCCCAGGACAAAGACTTTCAGTACCACTCAAAATGGTGCTGCAGCCACAGGTGAGAAAGTTACATAGCAAGAAAAAGAAAGAACAATTCTTTTAGGCTTTTGCCAGTGCCCTCAGCAATTGTTGATCAAAGATATTCTAGGTTTATGGCTCTGACCTGAAATATAGACTTTTATTTCTTTCACCCCAGGGAAAACATTTTATTTGTATCGTGTAAAGATTGGAGAGTTGAGTGCATACTGTAATCCCAGCAACTTAGGAGGTTGAAGCAGGAGGACTCCAACCTTAAACTTAGTGAGGCCTTATCAATATAGCTAGACCCTGTCTCAAAATAAAAATGATTGGGAATATGTCTCAGTGGTTAAGTACCCCTGAGTTAAATCCCAATACCAATAAACAAATAAATAAATAAATAGTTGTGGGTTTGAGATAAAAGATGATTTATATAGAATATTTGTCTTTGAACTATTTAATTTGCAATCTTCTAATATTGTAAAATAAACTGGCATGGTAACATACACCTGTAATCCCAGCACTTGGAAGACTTAGAATTGTAGCTTCATGGTCAGCCTTGGCAACTTAGTGAGACCTGTCTCAAAAAAGTGTTGGGGATATAGCTCCCCTAGGCTCTGTCCCCATTATATGCCCAGATACACACACAAGATGGAGTAAAAAATACTTTGAAATTGCTTTTTTCTTGAAAGATACAGAAGTAGTCAAATGATTATCACTTCTCTCACACTCGAGGGTGATAAAGGTGGACCAAGAGTACAATTTGAACTTATTTTTACATTTAGGCCAAAGACCAATATTGTTTATGTTGGTTGAAGTTTTCTAAAATAATGAATATGAGAGTACGGCAAAAGGATATTAAAGTTTAATTTGGTAGAATTATTGCCTTTTCTCACCTCTTCACCATCAAAAAACACATTTTTTTAGATGTGTCTAGGTTCATTAAAAGATAGTCTATGCTTCATTCTTATGGAAATAGAGGACTAGTTTCTATCCTGCCTGCTTTATTTGAACCATTTAACTACAAACATGTTGAAATTTTAGTGTCTTTATTCCTACAGGCTGGCTCTTCCCAAGGGGCCTCCTCTGGGCTCTCTGTAGTTAAAGTTCTAAGTGCCAGTGAAGTGGCAGCTCTATCATCACCAGCAAGCTCTGCTCCTCATGCTGGGGGAAAGACAGGAATGGAGGAAAACCGCAGACTGGAACACCAGAAGAAGCAAGAGAAAGCAAATCGGATTGTAGCAGAGGCCATTGCTAGGGCCCGTGCCCGAGGTGAACAGAACATACCTAGAGTCCTGAATGAGGATGAGTTGCCCAGTGTTCGACCAGAAGAGGAAGGTGAGAAGAAACGCAGAAAGAAGAGCAGTGGAGAGAGATTGAAGGAGGAAAAGCCAAAGAAGAGCAAAGCATCTGGTACCTCCAAAACTAAGGGCAAGAGTAAGCTAAAGTGAGTAACCTTGCTGTTTTGATGGCACTTTTTAGGCAGCATACTAAGTTTTAAATAGTATTAAGAGGAACTTATATTTAGCAGCTACCTAGTTCAGAGTGATCAGAATATAATAAGGCCTTTCTCATCTGTGTCTTAATGCTTATATTAAGCATTATATATAAAATAGAATTTGCAAATTAGCATATTTTAAAAGGAAACACAAAGGCACAGGAAAAATATATGGTCATTTTGTTGTGAGTTATCTTTAAAAGCTATGATAATGTGCATTTACATATTTTTTTATTTTTTGTCATTGTAGTTGAAAGATGTTTCTCACTACCCCTTACCTTCTACCCCACTAAAAAAAATAATTACTGGAGAATAGCTTCCCTGTTCTTGCATTTCATCTGTGAATTAGAGAAGATTTCGACAAATACTGTCAGGCTTGAGTAGTATTGACAAAGCCACAGCTTACAATAATTCTTTTTTTTTTTTAATACCTTTATTTATTTATTTTTATGTGGTGCTAAGAATCGAACCCAGTGCCTTGCACATGCTAGGCAAGCACTCTACCTCTGAGCCATGACCCCAGCCCCTACAATAATTCTTATCACAATTGAATGTTCTGCTTCTCTTCTACATGTCTTATAGACTCTCCTTTTTCACTAACTTCTGCTCCCTGGAATTCTTCAGGCTTTATCTATGTAGGATTTTTCGGCTTTGGGGGGGAGGTTTTTGGTACTGGGATTTGAACCAATAGCCTTATGTGTGCTAGGCAAGCTCTTTATTACTGAGCTGATTTTACAGCTTTTGTGTACTTTTTATTATTTTATATTTATTTTTAAAAATGTTTTAGTTGTTGAATCAAACCCAGTGCCATACACATGCTAGGCAAGTGCTCTACCACTGAGATACAACCCCAGCCCTATTATTTTTTAAAATTTATTTATTTTTTGGTGCTGGGGATTGAACTCAGGAGCACTTAACCACTGAGACAGATCCCCAGCCCTTTTTATTTTTCATTTTGAGACAAAGTCTCACTAAGTTGCTTAGGGTCTCACTAAGTTGCAGAGACCTCGAGCTTGCATTCTTCCTACTTCAGCCTTCAGGGTCTCTGGGATTACAGGTGTACACCACTGTGCTGACTGAACTTTTCAGCTTTTTGAAAGCAAGTTTCATACCTAATTTGATCCCTAACAGTTGTCAGAACAGGTATTATGCCCAGTATTTATTAAAAAATAAGGAAAACTAATGTTCAGCTAATGACATAACTAAAACAAAGCCTTCTTTTTTGTTGTTGCTGCTGCTGCTGCTGTTGGTGGGGTGGGGAGTATCAGGGATTTGACCCCATGGGCACTGAACCACTTCCTCAGCCCCTTTTTAATTTTTTTATTTTGAGACAGGTTCTCACTAAGTTGCTTAGGGCCTGGCTCAGTTGCTGGGCTAACTTTGAACTTGGCATAATCCTGCCTTAGACTCCCGAGTCACTGGGAATACAGGCATGCGTCACCACACCCAGCAAGACCTTCTAATTCTTAATCTAGTATTTACTCTGTTGTCTTATGCTACCTTGTATTATATATTTGTGAACAAACTGGTAGCAAGAATTTGTCAAATCTAGTATAAAGGTCAGTCAGTTTACAAATTGCAGTATTTTCTTTTTTCAAACACCATACCCAATAGCTGTATGTTCCATGGATTGATGATCCAAACACTTATTCTGTCTGGAACCTTAGTATGTAATGCTTTGGATTGATTTTGTCTTCTTACCCTAAATTTTTCTTGCCCACACTGAAAATGAGATTGTTTTTTCCTTTTTAGCACCATCACTCCTGTAGTGGGTAAGAAGAGAAAACGTAATACCTCATCTGATAATTCAGATGTGGAAGTCATGCCTGCACAGTCACCCCGGGAAGATGAAGAAAGCAGCATTCAGGTAAAAAGATCCCTAAAGAACTTAGTACAGGTTAAGCATCCCTGATACAAAAGTCTGAAATCCAGAATACCCCAAGTTCAAAACTTTTTGAGTGCCAACATGATGCCACGAGTAAAAAACAAAACAAAACAAAAACCCAGACTTACCTCATAAAAATATATTGTATAAAATTACTTTCAGGCTAAGTGTATGAGGTAGATATAAATGTAAATGAATTTCATGTTAAATCTTGGGTTCTATCCCCTATATAAATATCATTTTTATATGTAAGTATTCTAACACCAAAAAACTGTTTGAAACTATTTGCAAAACTATTTGAAACACTTCTTCTGGTTCTAAGCATTTTGGATAAGGAATATTCAACCTTAGAAAAATCATGTTTAATTTTGGCTAACAAACTAGGGCCCGAGAAGTAGACCTAATAGGTGAAGGGATCTGGTCATTATCTTCTAAAGCTTTGAGGTTTTAGGCAAAAAGCATATTACTGTAAGAGCAATACTCATTTTCCCAAATTGCAGTGTTTTTTTGTTTTTGTTTCTGTTTTCCAAATTGCAGTGTTTTAAAAACTGAGCAAATCCTAGGAAATTTTGCTGCATGAATGTGGCGATGGCTGTGTCAGTACTTGCTTTTTCTTAGAACTGTCCAGCTATCCCTTTTGTCTTACCTTTTCTATACTTCTGGGTTCTGACTGAACTTTGGTGTGCTGAGGCCCAAAGGTTTTTTCCTGCCTTTTGAATGAGAGACATTGGAAGAAGCCAGACCAGAAAAACTTTAGTCCTGTAGTTCTTCATCTGATTTGTTGCCTATGGTACCATCTTGTCTCCAATTTCCGACTGTAGAAAGAACCTGGTATTAAGATTTAGGGGACTACCTGGGTGCAGTGGCACAAGCCTGTATTCCTAGCAACTCAGGAGGCTGAGGAAGAGGATTAAAAGTTTTGAGACCAGCCTCAGCAACTTAGACCCTGTGTCAAAAATAAAAAGGGCTGGGGATGTGACTCAGTGGTAAAGTACCCCTGGGTTAATTCCCAGTACCCACCGACCCCTCAAAAAAAAAAAAAAAGATTCAGGGAACCCCATGGTATTTCAGAGTAGTTTTGTGAGCCTTGCCAGTTTACTTAACCTAAGTTGTTTGAATTCATCAGTAAATGAAGGTTTGGACTAAATGAGCCTTGAGTGTCTCTCGTACTACTAATGTTTATAAATGCCTCCCTTGCTTATGTTTTGCTAGGGATTAAACCCTGGTTTCACACATGCAAGGTAGGCCTCTGCTATTGATTTCTATTCCCAGCCTTCATTTCTTTAGACATTCAACACAGTGACAAACTGATACTTGGATTTTTCTGGGCGAAATATAAGAGAATAGCCAAGACATTTTTAAAAAGGAAATAAGGCACAAAACCTTAGACATCATAGTATACTATGAAAGAGTGATTACTAAGACTTTGAAATTGGAAAACAAATAATGGATACAATAAATTCTAGATAGAGACCCAGCTAGCAATGGGAGTTTTTAGTATAGATGACTAAAATGCCATTTTCATTCAGTGTAAAAAAAGATTATACCATAAATTATATGAGGACAACTGACTACCCAGTTGGGATGGGGACTGGATTTTTTTTTCCTCTGCTTATTAGACGAAACGAAATTCTGGTTTAATTAAAGGTCTAAGTTGAAAAACTGAAGCCAAACTTTCTATAAAATATGGATAAATTTTTTTATAATGACCTAGTGGAGTAGAACATTGTAAGAAAGATATTAAAATTTAGAAGTTACAGCCAGATACAATGGTACATACTGTAATCCCAGTTACTTAAGAGGCTGAGGAAGGATGAACTCAAGTTGGAACTATCCTGAGCAATTTAGCAAGACCTTCTCTCAAATAAAAAGGACCAGCAGTATAGCTCAGTGTAAAGTATCCCTGGGCTCAATCCCTAGTATCAAAAAGTAAGTAAATAAATAAAATAGAAGATTAGTACACTTGATGTATAAAAATTATGTATGATACAACAAAAAAATTCCATGAACAGTATAATGGTTAAAAGAATACACTTTGGAGCCAGATTTCTTGGTACTCATCCTGCGCTAGTAAATAACTAGCATTGACATTTTCAGCAAGTTAACTTAACCTCTTGGTGCCTTGGTTTTCTTACTAGTAAAACACATTATTACTCTACTGTGTAGGTGATGATGACAGTTAAATGTAAAAAGTACATAGAACAGTGCCAAACTAAAGGCAAATTTTTATACCACAAAGAGTAAAAAGATTTGTTAAATTTAAAAAGTGGTATATTAGTTTGCTGAAGGCCACCATAGCAAAATACCATAGACTAGGTTGTTTAAACTACAGATGTTTATATTCTCAAAAATTTGAAGATTAGCAAGGGTCATCCTCAGGCTTGGTTTCTCCTCAAGACCTCTTTGAATTGCAGATGGCCACCTTCTTGCTGTGTCTTTGCATGGTCTTTCCTTAGTTGGCACACAGCTCTGGTGTCTGTTTCCCTTACTTTCTTCTTTCTTTCTTTTTTTTGGTACTAGAAATTGAACCCAGGGGCACTTAACCACTGAGCCACATCCCTAACCCTTATTAATTTTTATTTTGAAACACATCTCATTAAGCTGCTTTGGGCCTTTTAAATTGCTGAGGCTGGCTTTGAACTTGTGATCTCCTGCCTCAGACTGTAAAGCCACTGGAACTACAGGTATGTGCCACTGCCCCTGGCCCCTGTTTCCAGGAATAATAAGCCAGGTATGATGGCACATGACTTTAGTCCCATTTACTTGAGAGGCTGAGGCAGGAGAACACTTGAACCCAGGAGATTGGAGCCAGCCTGGGCAACATAGCAAGACCCCATATTTTAAACAAAAAGAACACCAGTTACATTGAGTTAGAGGCCCCCCTCAGTGGCCTCATTTTAACTTACTTTAAAGGCTTTATCTTCAGATGCATCCCATTCTGAGATACTGGGCTTAGGGTTTCTGCATATAAATTTGGGAAGCAAGAAAAGAACAGTTCAGCTTGTGACCAGCGATAATGCCAGTGTCGACAACCAAGTTAAGAAAAAGACACTTTACACACAATCAATGGAAGTGTTAATTGAGTCTTTATTTTTAGCAAGTCTGTTTTTCAATACATAGCAGAATTTAAAATGTTAATATACTTTGACTCAGTGCTTCTGACTTAGGAAATTACCTTCTGGAGATATTCTCAATAGCATGCAGTGATATATAGAGAGAGAGTAGCAATATTTGCAAAAGCAAAAATGTCCATTTGTGCAGAAATATAAAAATCCATGCTATGCTCTTTTAAAAAAAAAAAAGTGAAGTAGTTGGGTATGCTAATGTGGAATATTAAATGAAAAAAGCAAGGTATATAATATTTATAGCTTTTAAAGTATGTGTGTGTACATATATGTACATGCACCAATTTTTTCCTGGAAGCATATACAAGAATTTGATAAGAATCTTTTATCTTTGACAAGTTTAAGGTTAAGTGGATCATAATTATTATAATTTGATTTTTTTATCCTTTAGGACTCTGAAAAAATTCTCAACTCTGAACATTCACCATTTATTTATTTATCTATTTATTTATTTATTTATAAATGTTTTTTAGTTGGACACAATATCTTTATTTATTTATATGTGGTGCTGAGGATCGAACCCAGGTCCTTACACGTGCTGGGCGAGTACTCTACCACTGAGCCACAACCCAGCCCCGTCATTTATTTTTTAGTTTAAAAAATAATGTATATTGGGCTGGGACTGTGGCTCAGCAGTAAAGCACTCAACTAGCACATGTGAGGCTCTGGGTTCCATCCTCGGCACCACATAAAAATAACATAAAGGTCATTGTGTACACCTACAACTAAAATAAATATTTTTTAAAAATGTATATTAAAAAAATCTACAACAGTACAAAAATGGAGATACCACAAAAGTCTTCTCTTCTAAACATCAGCTTTCAGTCTCCCAGTTTCTCCCCAGAGAGAGGTAGCCCCTGTTACCATTTTTTTGTGTTTGTATCCTTTCGGAAATATTTACTTCATGAGCACTCTGCTTCCACTAAATACTAGTATTTTATACTCTTCTGTACTGCTTTTTTTTTTTTTTTAACCCAAGGATACATTTGGAAGTTGTTCTTTATCTAAAAAAATAGATCTAGCCCACTTTCCTCCACTCTCCTTTTTTTTTTTTTTTAAGTTGTAGATGGACACAATATATTTATTTATTTTATTTTTTCTGTGGTGCTAAGGTTGAACCCAGTACTTCATGCTTGCAAGGCTAAAGTACTCTACCAGTGAGCTACAACCCCACCCCCACCCTCCTTTTTATTATGAAAAATTTCAAATATACACAGAAGTTGGGATTATTTAAAGTCATGTTTCCATTCTTCCACTTTGATACTACCAATAGATGGCCATTCTTAGTTCTGCTCCCTTCTGAATTTTTTTTAAGCAAATCCAAGTAACTTCGAATTGTCCCTTAAGTTTAAAAAAAAATTTAAAAATACATGATAAATATAAAAAAAAAATGTAGAAGTATATAGATTAAAATATTCTAATCGACTCTTCTCTAAAAGTAATTATCAATAGATTATTTGTCCTACCAGACTTTTTTTTAAACGAGGTAGAATGTACATTGTATTAGTCAATTTGCTATTGCTAATAGTCCAATGCTACATACTAATTTTAGCAAAATGAGGGTTTTTTTTTTTCATGGTTCTGGAGGGCCAAAGTGGAGGAGATGACATTTTTGCTGGCAGAGTTTCTAGGCATTACAGGGCATCATATAGCAAGGGGCAGCCAGCTCATATGTGTCTCTCTCCTCTGGTCTCTTTTTTTCTTTCTTTTTTCCTTTTTTTTCCGGCAGTGCTGTGAATTGAACCCAGGACACCACACATGCTAGGTAAGCAGTCTGTCACCAAGCTGCACCTGTAGTCTCTCTCCCTCTCTTATAAAACTGCCAGTATTCAACTATGGCGGCTCTATCCTGATGACTTTATTGAATTCTAATCCCCTCCTAAATGACTCTACCTATAAAACCATGGTTGGATTAAGGTTCATTTCTCTCTTTCTTTACTTCTTCTTCTTTTTTTTTTTTTTGGCTTCACAGGGGATTGAGCTCAGGGCCTAGATGATGGGAATGAACGCTTGCTAGGCAAATGATATTCCATTGATCCACATCCTTAACTGCTCCTGCATCACCTTATTTATTAGTTTTTTTAATGGAATGCTGGAGATAGAACCAAGGGCCTTATACATGCTAGGCAGGTGCTCTACCACTGAGCCGTGTCCCCAGCCCCAACTCTTTTTTTAAATTTTGAGACATGATATCATTAAATTACCCAGATTGGCTCTAAGTTTGGCAATCCTCTTGCCTCAGCCTCTTGAGAAATGGGGATTTCAGGTATGAACTATCATATCTTGCAAGTTTCTTTCTCCTTTATACCTCACAGTGGGAATGAGATCTTAACACATGAATTATTTTTTTTTCTTTTTTCAATTTTTTTTGTTGTTGATGGACCTTTATTTAATTTATTTATATGCAGTGTTGAAAATTGAACCCAGTGCCTTGCACATGCTAGGCAAGCGCTCTACCACTGGGCTCCAGTCCCAGCCTTTAACACGTGAATTCTGTGGGACACTCAAACCATATCATACCTATAGTAAAATATACACAGGTCTTTACTTGTCTAATTTAGTGAGTTTTGACAAATGTATACACCTAAGTAAACACCCGAATCATGATAAAGATTTCCAGAATGTTCCCTTTTACTGTCTTCCAGCTGGTCTATCCCCTCCTTCCCTAGGCAACCTGTTTTGATTTTCTGCTTTATATTTGAGGTTCTTTCTTCTTTCTTTCCTTTTTCTTTTTCTTTCTGGTACCATTCTGATTTCTGACACCACAAATTAACTTTACATGTTCTTTAACTTTTTGCGTAAATGAAATCATACAGTCTGTATTCTTAGGACTCACTTCTTTCATTTTAATGTTTTTGGGGATTGATCCATATTGACTTAGACTGTATCAGTAGTTGTTTGTGGTTTTTTTAATAATATTTAATTTTATGGATTTACCATAATTTGTATATCCATTCTCCTGTTAATGAACATTTGGTTGTTTCCAATTAGGGTCTCCTATATGTCAGTTTTCCAAAGTGTTATTTTACATTTGCGGCAGTAATGAATTTCAGATGTTAAACATCTTCACCATTTTGTATTGGCAGTTCCATTCTTTTTAGAGTAATCCTTTCTCTAGTAACCCATTTTTATCCTGTAACATAATTTGTAATTTAACCAAAGCTTTTTTTATGGTCACTTAGGTTTTTTCCTGGTGTTCTACCACAATCAGTGCTACAGAGATTTTGTACACACACACAATTTATCTGTAGAATAGTATCTTTGAAGTGAAATTGCTTTGTCAAAGAGTATTGTCAAATTTTCTTCCATTGAGATCATGACTATTTGCATACCCATCAATGGTATTTGAGTTCCTGTTTCAAATGTGGGTTTGTTTTTTTGTTTCTTTTTTGGGGAGCAGGGGTGGAACCCAAGGTCTCATACATACTAAGGCAAGCTCTCTGCCTACATCTACAGCCCCTGTTGCAAATGTTTTGATCAAAACATTCCAATTTTTGCCAGTCTATCAGGTTAAAAAAGAAGAATCTGTTTAGTATTTTGAGTAAGGGTAACCATTTTTTTTTTTTTTTAAGAGAGAAAGAGAGAGAGAGAGATTGAGAATTTTAGTGTTTATTTTTTAGTTTCTGGTGGACACAACATCTTTGTATGTGGTGCTGAGGATCGAACCCGGGTCGCGCGCATGCCAGGCAAGCGCGCTACCGCTTGAGCCACATCCCTAGCCCAGGGTAACCATTTTTTAATGTTTAAAAATTAATTGTATTTTTTTCTAGAAATTGTCTTTTCATGCTGGTTGCCCTTTCTATTCTGTTATTATTAACCTTTTTCTTTGTTATTCAAGAGAGAACTTTTATGTTTAATAAATGTATCAGATGGTATCTTTTTCTCAGGTTATTGTTTCTCTTCATTTTGCTCATAATGGATTGTGTTATGCAGGTAATGTTAAATTTCTTCATATTGTCAAATTGATCACCATATTACAAAGACCCTTCTTAATCCAGGATTATAAAAAATTGTCCCATATTTTCTTCTTATAAATTACATGTACTATTTTTACACTTTTCTTTGATCCTTTTAGAATTTTCTTTCATTCTGTACATGGCTAGCTAGCTATTCATTTCCAATCCCAATTACAGAGTAATCTATATCTTCACTGATTAGAAGTACCATTTTTGTGATTGTTCTAAAGCCACATAAGTGTTTTAGTCTATAGTTAGGCACTGTTTCTTTGACCTTTTGATCTCTTCTTGGGAATATATCAAACTTTGTTATTTAGTATAGCTTTATAATGTCTTGTATTTCTGGTAAGGTTCATTATACTTTATTCCTTATTATTCTTAGATGTTTACATGTGTTTGTATTTTAGAGTCTGTTTAGCTAATTAAAAATATTCTCAATTTTTTTTTGGTGGGGGGGTCAAATTCATGAATTTAGGAAGGATTTACTCCTTTTTAAATTTTATTTATTTATTTTGGGGGGTACCGGAGATTGAATTCAGGGGCACTCAACCACTGAGCCGCATCCCCAGACCTATTTTGTATTTTATTTAGAGACAGGGTCTTATTATGTTGCTTAGTGCTTTTGCTGAGGCTGGCTTGAACTAGTGATCCTCTTGCCTCAGCCTCCTGAGTGGCTGAGGTGTGCTCCACCACACCCAGCCTATTTAATTTTCTCATTATTTTTAGTTATATGTGACAGTAAAATGTATTTTGACGTATTATGCATATGTAGTGTATAACTTCACATTCCCATGCAGAATTGCAGATTTAAGACCAGCCTCAGCAATTTAGGGAGACCCTGTATCAAAAAAGGGGGCACTGGGTTGTAGCTCAGTGGTAGAGCACTTGCTAGCATGTGTGAGTCATTGGGTTAATCCTCATATAAATAAATAAAATAAAGGTATTGTATCCATCTACATCTAAACATTTAAAAATAGATAAAGCTTTAAGAAATAATTAGAAAAACAAAAAAGGGCTGGGGATGTGGCTCAGTAGTTAAGTGCTCGTGGGTTCAATTCCCAGTACAAAATAAAAGTCATGTTTGAATTTTCTAAAGCTTCTTATAAATAGGGTATAGATTTCTCTCTGGGTTCCTGGCCTTTGATAAAGCAGTTCAGCAAATTGTTTTCTTTTGGTTTGGTTTTTCATGGGAGATTTGGAGTAAAAGCTAAGGAAATAAGTGAAGACAAATGCTTTTGAAAGTTCTCTTTTTGTAGTTCTAAGCAGTTATTTTAACTATTCTTTTCCTCTACAGAAGAGACGGTCAAACCGTCAAGTGAAGCGAAAAAAATATACAGAAGACCTTGACATAAAGATCACAGATGATGAAGAAGAAGAAGAGGTGGATGTAACTGGTCCAATAAAACCTGAACCCATCCTCCCTGAACCTGTGCAAGAACCAGATGGGGAGACTTTGCCTTCCATGCAGTTCTTTGTGGTAAGCTGAAAATGTAAGCTATTGGAAGGGTTTGTCCTCCTCTTTTAGTCATTCATTGACTGGTTACATCTTTTACTACAGGAGAATCCCAGTGAAGAAGATGCAGCTATTGTAGACAAAGTACTTTCTATGCGTGTTGTAAAGAAAGAGGTAAGGCCGTTATCTTTAATGTCAGCCCATGTTGCTTCACTTGCAGGTTTTATTTAATGAGCATTTTTGGATGTCAGAATATATTGCTAGAGTCTGGTTATGAGAGATATGATGGGGAAAAATTAACTATAAGATAGGAACTGTCTTGGGCTGGGGATGTGGCTCAAGCGGTAGCGCGCTCGCCTGGCATGCATGCGGCCCGGGTTCAATCCTCAGCACCACATACAGACAAAGATGTGTCTGCCAAATATTAAAAATAAATATTAAAAAAAATTTTTAAAAAAAAGATAGGAACTGTCTTAATTTTTATCACTAATTCTTTTATAATGGGTAAACACTTATTTTTTCTAGCTAGCAAACTTCTATTTGAAGTACTAGAATAGTTCCTGAATCCCCAGGTCACTAATATATTTAGGAAGCATTAGGATAAAGTTTTGTCATGTGTGGGTAAAGTTAAAGGTTACTTCTTTGACAAACAAGGAATTAGTAATCATAATTTCTTTTTTTCTTCTCAGCTTCCCTCTGGACAATATACAGAAGCAGAAGAATTCTTTGTCAAGTATAAGAACTAGTATGTTATATTTACAAAAATCTTGTCAGTTCAAACTCCACAGGGTCCTGGAAAGGTCTCTTGTATAGATTTTCAGGGGTGGGAACATGTCTCTTTGTAAAAGTCTCTTAACCCAAATTGCCATTTTTAATGGGAAAATGAATATTGAGAAAAGAAATTCAGGAATTTAAATGACTGTTATGGTTTCTTTGCAGGAAGGTGAGGAAAGAGTAGTTTCGAGTAAAATACTTTGTAATGCTCTCTACCTTAGCCTAAATCCTAACGCTTGTTCTGCAAAGTGTGTTCCCTGTCTAACAGAGTTAGCATTATTTTGGAGGCTTTTGGGAAGTGTGGATGTTCAAGCATAACTTAGACCCAATGGCTTGTTTGCAAATTAAAGTTTCAGAAGCACTGACTTAAGCTACCACCAGTTTAAGCATAAATTTGTCAAGTCTAGTGTTGGTTAATCCCAAAACCTCAAAGACTAGACTGCCATTTTTCCCTTTCTTGAGCCATGACTCGATATTTCCATTTTCTATAGCTCCTATCTACACTGTGAATGGGCTACTATCTCCCAACTAGAAAAGGATAAGAGGATCCATCAAAAACTAAAGCGCTTCAAAACCAAAATGGCTCAAATGAGACACTTCTTCCATGAGGTAATTAGGAATAGGTATTACCTATCATTTCTTTTATAGAAGCACAAATTACTAAGGTTGTCAATCTTGGCTAATCCATCAAATAGTTTAGACTTGGTTTGTATATATCAATATAAAGTTTTAATTTATTTTCCTTACTTAATTACCCCATGCTTTGTGTTCTTAGGTTTAAAATGGTCATTGGTTTCAGTATTGTGAGATTGATTTACTTGATACATAGGAAGTATTTTCAAAAGGGATGATAAAGTAATCTCTGGTCTACTTTCCCTTTAATATCAATCTGTAGCTATTGATGATCTCTTTAGATATAAGCATCTATATCATTTAGAGAAAGTTTATTTTTCAAATTTCTGATTTCTATTCTGGTATCAAAGAAAGTGTGATCGATAAACTTTTAATTTCCCAGAGACAGGATTATTACTATTTAAGCTCTGGAATAAGAAAAGTAAAGAAGTATGCCCATTATATTTGACAATTTGGAGTATTCATGGTTTTGACTTTTAATTGTGTGATGCAAATGGAAGGAAGAATGGAATGGATAGACAAGCAAAGGAAATAAAGGAGTGGAGATTGGCTGTATTTAAAACTTGGGAATATTTGAGTATAAAATGAAGCAGAGCAGAAAAAGAGTTGAAGATGTGAAATAGTAGAGCACATTTTTATGTTTATGGGAGGATTTGATAGAGAAAGGTTCCTAAGAAGGAATGAAGTCCAGTGCATATATGGAGAGAGTAGCCTCTGTTGGGCAAAAGAAATACTTTTTCTAGTAACAGGTGAGAAGATAGATACAGATCCAGGTAAGGATATACTTTGTAGGATTTATTATTGTGAAAAAAAGAGAACTGCAATGGAATTAAAAATTTTTGAAGTAGGATTTTCTACTAATGTTGTAGGGAAGTGGATTTATTGGAGAGTGATTTCTTGAGTCTTATAGTTTCATTTCATAACTCATCTAGGATGAAGAGCCCTTCAATCCAGACTATGTAGAAGTGGATAGGATATTGGATGAATCTCACAGTATTGACAAGGATAATGGCGAGGTAAGTTGGGGCATGGAGAAACATGAAAGCCCTCTTGTAGATGTCTACTGGTATGATTGTCAGTCCTTTATCTTTCAGATATGGATGAAAAATCCCTTAGACTGAAAAGATATTTCTGAATTTTTCTGTGGGATCCTTTAAAGTATAATGGGAAGGTAAAGGAGTAGTCTTGTCTAAAAGGAAAGAATCTCACAAAGTCAAATATCTGGAAGATACAAGTGCTGAAGATTCATTCATTTTGATCTCATTTTCCCTCAGATTTTATATGGAAGACTTGGGACACTCAGTAGAGTCCCAATGGATATTTTGCAAATTTAAATTTAGGAATATAAAAATACTTGCAGAGGCTCCTAGCTTTCTCCTAATTATGTCTTGAGAATTAATTTTTTTCTTGAACTCACTATTAGTGAAGTGTTTGTATTAGTTGTTTAAATGGATATGCTGCATTTGTGCCTGTATTTTAAAACAGATTTTAGAATCCCACTCCCACAAGTTCAGATTAAGTCGAGTCAAGGTTGGGACTCCAATATATTTATTTTTAAGTTGCTTCTCAAAGGGTTCATGCACACCTTGATTGGGAAATCACTGCCTTAATACTGTCATAGATTAAGGAACATATCTTACATATGCTTAAAAACTTGCTGATTCAGATTCACAAACCACATATTTAGTTTTCCAAATAGAGTTATATGGATCTAAACCACCAATGAATTCAATGTTCTTTCTTTTAAATTTACTAAAAAAAATCCTGTATTTACTCTCCAGATCACCATTTTGTTGGGTTTCCTCACTTGCTTTTCACTTTAAACCATAGTGTAGCTTTGCAGGGCCATATTTTATGAGCAAAATTTTTACCACTTGTGACAGGGACCATTAGAAGGAAAAAAAGAACCTTGTTATAATATTGTGTTGGGAGGTGAGCAGAGCTGACTCGTGAATTATTAATAACTTGTTCCCATACATTATTCTAAAACAACCTCTGAGTCAAATTCTTCCCTCCATTAAGTAGGAAAGTTTACCCTGTGTCCTAAGATTTCAGGGTCAATCAAGCCATCATCTTAGAAGTTCAGGGCCTGTTACATTTTAGTGTCTTTAAAATCCTAATAAGTATGCTTCAGGTAACATATATTCATCTTTGGGTTTGGGGTGGGAGTTATTGTGTGTTCATTTCTGGGAGGTGATTGGAGAATGGGCTAGTCAGCAGGTTAGCTACTCTTAAATTCTTCTCATTATTTTCAGGATCTCAGCCTTCTCAGCTTTGAAAGTCTTACGCTCTCTACCAGCATACTTACCCTTCCAAAAGCCTTTGGTCTGGCCCCTTTGAAATATGTTGCAACTGGCATGACAGATGAAAATGTTTTGATACCCTGATAATATAATTTATGCTCCCAATGTTGGAAAATAACATTCTGTGTATCCATTTTCCCCTTTTCCAAAGTGAGTTTAATTTGTCATCCATTTTACATTACCTAATTGTGGAAATAAATAAGTATTGTGGTACTTAGGAACGTAAGTTATAATGCTATAAATATGTGACCTGTGCAAATGGCTTTACATAAAGAGTGACCCAAGTCATTACAGTAAAGAAAAAGGTGAAAGAGCAGTTGGATTAATTCTAGGATTAATTCTAGGAGATTCTTTGATCTGTGACTTTGTGGAGTTATTTTCACACTATTGCTGGCCATCCTCTCCCCACCCTGCCAATCGGGATTGATTCCTGGAGCACTCTACTCCTTAGTTACACCCCTAGTCATTTTTTTTTTACTTTAATTAATTTATTTGTGTGTGTGTGTGGTGCTGGAGATTGAGCCCAGGGCCTTGTACATGCAAGGAAAGCACTCTACCAACTGAGCTATATCCCCAGCCGCCCTCCTGCCCCCCGAGTCCTTTTTATTTTTCATTTTGATACAGAATCTCACTGAGTTGCTGAGGGTCTGGCTAAATTGCCCAGGCTGGCTTCTACTTAGAGTTGCTGGGATTACAGGCATGTGCTACCATGCCTGGTTATTGCTGGTTCTTTTAAGGAGTATTCTTTGAATTGATAATTAGAGATTCCTGTTGATTATGCTAGGCCTAATCTGATCCTTCTTGCTTATATAGGCCAAAAAGTGGAAGAACTTTTAATAGTAGTGATCATTTTAAATAGTGAAAATAGGAGCTATTTTGCTCCTAGCAGTGGAATGCCAATGGAATATTGCCATAGTTGGAGCTTCAGCATTTTCTCTTTCTCTTCTCTCCTGTTACCTTCCTTCAATGATGCCTCTTATAGTTAATGCCTAGCTTCCTAAAATCTCTTTACCACCCTAAAGTGCTCTTGAAGTGCATTGGTACCCAGAGATTTAGGGTTTCAAAGCCGAGTGCTATTAGCTGTTGTATGCCTCCTACAGGTTTATCTTGTTCTTCATACTAAAAGTAGTGTAGGTTCTACTTTATCAAATTTGGTGCCAGGAAAATAGTATGAACTTGAACCGTATCTTTTTAGTTTCAACACAATATAGGGAAATAGTATTCCTTTTTACCCTCTTTTGTTTGGCTGATAAGCATAATATTTTAGTGTGTAGTATTCTAGAAAATGCTCCTAGAAATTTTACTTCTAAAATAGATTTTGATAAGTTACCTGAAAGAATGATCAAAGGCATGACTAGTAACATCAGCAAGTAACCTTAGGGTTGTTGTGTTTAGCCTGATATTTTTCAGCACCTTTTAGGTGTCAACACTGTGATATAATTTTATAGGCAATTTCTTATACTTTAACCACAGCAGAAAATACAAAATCAAGTTTATTAAGGCTTTGGCTTCTCTCCTAGCCTGTAATTTACTACCTGGTGAAATGGTGCTCTTTGCCCTATGAGGATAGTACATGGGAGCTAAAAGAAGATGTTGATGAAGGCAAGATTCGAGAATTTAAGCGGATCCAGTCAAGGCACCCAGAACTCAAAAGGGTGGTAAGTACATTTGCAATTAGAAGGTAACTATATCTATAAAGGTCCATTGTATACAATAAAGATTTAATGTTTTCCTATGGAAATTTTTGTTTTTTGAGCTTTTTATGTAAATTTTTAAACATACAGAGGTTGAAGAAATAGTACCTACCTTCACTCAACTAACAATTGATAGTACATGGCAAGCCTTGGGTCATGCATTTCCTTACACATTCATTCTCCCATTTCCCTTGTTACTTTAAATCAAATTGCAAATTCCTTCAATTCATTTTTAATTATTTTAGTGTTTATTTCCAAAAGATAAATAATGCCACTATTACACCCCCAATTTAATCATTCCTTAATTTCAGATTATATATCTTTCCATTTTTGTTAAAGCTTTTAAATTGAATTCTAAATAAGATTTGTATGTTGGACTGGGAATGTAGTTCAGTGGTAGAGCAACCAAGTAAGCATGAGACCCTACCATTTCCCAGCCCTTGAGGGAGAAAAGAAAGTAAAGACCCGTATTTTGCTGTCATTTAATATGTCTCAAATCTATTATAGTTCCTCCTATAACTTCTTCCTTCATGAGTTTTTCTTAAAGAAACCAGGTGATTTATTCTGTAGGGCTTTTCATAGTTTGAAGATTGCTGATTTTATTTGCCTTTTTATCTTTCAACATGTTTTCTGTCCCTAATAGATCTCTACCCCATGCTTTGAATCAAACTGTCCCTGATATCTAACATGAATTGTTAGATTTAGAGCTGTGTTGTCCAATGTGGCAGCCACTAGCCATGTTTTTTAACATTGTAGACATTTCTGTTAGATATCACTGTTCTAGCTGCTTGGTCAGATAGAGAAGGGAGGCTATTGAATCTTCTTCATAGACAGTTGCGTTTACTTCCATCTGGTTGCATTTTGTGATGTCATCAGCCATTTAGGATCATTGTATAAAGAAGTTTGTTTCATCTACTATTAGTTACCTTGAGAGAGAGATTATATAAAAAAAAGACAAATACTTTATTCTTTTCCTTTATTTCCCAATTTCCAAAATAATGAAGTGACCAGTGGGCCGGGTGTTGTGGTGCACACATGTAATCTCAGTAGTTTGGGATTACATGAGGCTGAGTCAGGAGGATTGCAAGTTCCAAGCCTGTCTTAGCAATTTAGTGAAATACTTAGCAACTCAGTGAGAACTTATCTCTAAATAAAATATAAAAAAGAGCTGGGGATGATGTAACGCAGTGGTTAAGCATTCCAGGTTCAATCCCCAGTATCCCTCTCCTCCCAAAATAGTGCCCAGTGCATTTTTTTAGTTGACTTAAAGTACTAGAATTATGTATTATGTTTTGCCTAATTTTGTTAGTGTCTCCATTACATTTATTCAAATTTTCTGTTTTAGAATCGTCCACAGGCAAATGCCTGGAAGAAATTGGAGCTGTCACATGAATATAAAAACAGAAATCAGTTACGGGAATATCAGTTGGAAGGGGTCAATTGGCTGCTCTTTAATTGGTATAACAGGTAAAGACAAGAGTGGATTCATAAAATATAAGTTTAATCTAGGCATTTTTTTTTTCATATTCCATTGAAACAGTCCCCCACCCCTCAAAAAAAGAAAAGAAAAGAAAACAGTTGCTTCCTAGATATGTTCTTTTTTTAAGGTGATATATTTTTTAGCTGGGCATTGTGGTGCATGACTGTAAATCCCAGTGACTTAAGAAGCTGAGGCAGGAGAATTGCAAGTTTTGAGGCTAGCCTCAGCAACTTAGTAAGGTCTTGTTTCTGTACCTGTACCTGGGGATATAGTTCAGTGATAGAGCTGCTCTGGGTTCAATCCCCAATGCCAAAAAAGAAAAAGAAAAAAAATTACATGTACACACACAGTATTTTGAATTTCTGCTTTTTTCCCTGGTAAATCAGGCAAAACTGCATCCTGGCTGATGAAATGGGATTAGGCAAAACTATTCAGTCCATAGCCTTCTTGCAAGAGGTATACAATGTTGGCATTCATGGCCCCTTCTTGGTCATTGCTCCATTATCAACAATTACTAACTGGGAGCGAGAATTCAATACATGGACTGAGATGAACACTATTGTATACCATGGTAGCCTGGCAAGCCGGCAGATGATTCAGCAATATGAAATGTACTGCAAAGATTCACGGGTGAGTTGTGTGTATTGGGAATGCCAAGGTAGTTAGTGTTTTGCGGGGGGTTGTGTATGAATTTAAGGCTTTAATTAAGGCTCTGTGTGATTTAAGGCATTATTGTGCAGCAGTACGCAAGACATTGTTTTGATTTTTGCTATTTCTACCCTGTAGACATTTTGATTGAGTGAAAGTTTATTTTATGAATATGTAAATTTTACATAGGATTTTAGCCAGGGTGATAGCACATGCCTGTAATCCCAGTAGCTTGGGAGGCTAAGTTAGGAGGATCATGAGTTTAAGGCCAGCCTCAGTAATTTACTGTGGTCCTAAAAAGCAACTTTGCAAAACCTTATCTCAAAATAAAAAATTAAAAGGGCAAAGGATGTAACTTGGTGGTGCAAGTTACCTCTGGGTTCAATCCCCAGTACAAAAAAAAATTTTTTTTTTTTGAAGTAGTTTTCGAAGTAAAATACATTTAGGCACTTAAATTCCTTGATCTCTATCATGATGAACTTAAACATTTCTTTTCTCTTTTTTTAGTCTACTAAAATTTTCATCAAAATCAGTCCTTTTTCTATGTAAATTTGAAAAAAAAATTGAGCCATCCATCTTCTCAATATCAAATTTATTGTTTATCTTTTGTGGTTTTTATTACTCCCAAGCCAAATTTTCTCAAATCACATTTTGTAACTCTTAATTTTGTTAGAATAATTTGATGATTCTATCAAATTTTAGAATAGTAACCATTATTAACAGGTACTGTATTAGCTGTTGCCACTTTTATTATTGTCCTATATGTTCAATATTGCCTAATATTTAAAAATTTCATTTTTGTAGTTTGTTAAACCTGAGTATGGAAAGTAATTCAGATGAACTCCTTAGGTATGTTTTAGACCTTTTCTGACTTCATTACCTTCATGTTTAGGGGCGCCTCATCCCAGGTGCCTACAAGTTTGATGCCTTGATCACTACTTTTGAGATGATTTTGTCAGACTGTCCTGAGCTTCGTGAAATTGAATGGCGTTGTGTCATCATTGATGAGGCCCATCGGCTAAAGAACCGTAATTGCAAGCTACTTGATAGCCTCAAGCACATGGACCTGGTGAGTTCCCCATTCCAACTTGTGGGCAGAAACTGGAACTAACTGTATCTGTGGAATGACAGTAATCCTAAATTGGCAGAGAATAAAAAGAATCAAAATCTTGAATTGAATGCTGGGTATGGCCTATGGGATTTGTATAAAAGTTGTACATTTTAGAATTAGAAATGGTGGTTTACAACCAGGAGGAGTGGTGGGAAACTCTACTGATTACCTATTCCTGCATAACAAAACACTGTGAAACTTACTAGCTTAAAATTACCTATATTTTTCATTATTCTCTAGCTTAGCTACTTAGGCTGAGCTTAGCTAAGCTGTTTTTGATGGTCTTATTAGGAGTCATTACTGCAACAGGCAGTTAATGCTGGTTGTTGAATGAAGCATCTGGGTTGTCTTCACATGGCCTTACATAATCTAGTAGGCCAAATGGGTGATCTCAGGATGGTGTTCCAAAAGGACAAAAGCAGAAGCTGCAAGGCTTTTGAGATAAGCTGTCAAACTCAGAAAGTATCACTTCTGCTGTGATTTCTTTGTTAGAGCAAGTTACAAGGCAAGCCTAGATTCAAGAGGTAATTAGGATTGATGGCTGTACTTAATCCAACATAGGTACATTCCCTACAGGAGAGCAATTTATAATATATGGGGGAGTGGAATGTTGAGGCATATGAAATTGGAAAACATAGTCTGGGTTACTATTTCTTTATTTGCTTATTGTTATAACCTTTATGTTGTTGTTTTATTATGTTAAATAATGCCATGTAATTTCTTAAATGCTTTTGTGTTATCAAAAGAGGGAAGAAGTGAAAGAAAAATTCACATAGTAATCTGGTCTAATGCCATTATAGGTGGAAAACACTATAAGTCCTGTGTGGCTTTTTTTTTTTTCCATTTTTAATTTTTATTTTATCACTGTTTTCTCCAATTCTAGGAACACAAAGTGCTACTCACAGGAACCCCATTGCAAAATACTGTGGAGGAACTATTCAGCTTGCTTCATTTCTTGGAACCTTCACAATTTCCCTCGGAATCAGAATTCCTCAAGGACTTTGGGGATCTCAAGACAGAGGAACAGGTAGGAAGTCTGTCAGATGAGGAACCCAGGACCTAAAAAGTGTCTTTCTGAATTCTTGCCCACATCGTTTGTGGCATTGTTCAAAATTGGCTTTCCTTAGATAGTGGAAAACTTATTTTTCCATGTTTCCATATGAGAATGTACTCATGTCATTCATTTATTTTCCTTTCTATAATGAAACCATAGGTTCAAAAGCTACAGGCCATTCTTAAGCCAATGATGCTGAGAAGACTCAAAGAGGATGTTGAAAAAAACTTGGCTCCTAAACAGGAAACTATTATTGAAGTAGAGCTGACTAACATTCAGAAGAAATACTATCGGGCTATTCTGGAAAAGAATTTCTCCTTTCTTTCCAAAGGAGCAGGTCATACCAACATGCCTAATCTACTCAATACAATGATGGAGTTGCGCAAGTGCTGCAATCATCCATATCTCATCAATGGTGAGAGAATTGTTGTTTCCTCTCTCAGTGATATTCCTCGGGGATAATGGTTGCATTGACTGATTCAAGCCAATTTAGGGGTTGGTACTGTGAGTAGTAGGGAAAGGTTCTTTGATTATTTATTTGTGTGTATGGTTTTTTTGCTTGGTTTTGTGTTTTGGTAGTGGGGATTGAGTCCAGGGGTGCTTTGCCATGAGCTATGTCCCCAGTCTTTTTTATTTTGAGACAGGGTCTCACAAAGTTTCTGAAGTTCTCTAAGTTGCTAAGGTTGGCCTCAGACTTGCAGTGCTCTGCCTCAGCCTCCTGAATCTCTGGGATTATAGGCAAGGGTGACTGCACCCAGCAAGGACTGACCTTTCAAAAACTGATTGTTATCTGGATCATATTTCTCTGGTTCTTTCCATACTTTTGGGCTTGGGTAATCTGCAAAATTAAACAGTATTTGCTGTTTAGAAGTTCATAAATAAGAACAGATTGTTCTCTACTCTGAATAAATGTCCTTACCAATACCCATTTTGTTAGGGGTCTTTTGGGTGTCTTTTGGTAATGGTGGTGTTCCTTCTTACTCCTTGTTTATATATATATATATATATATATATATATATATATATATATATATATATATATATATATATAAAATTACCCAGTACACTCAAATAAGACCTGCCTTATTTGGAATTTTTTTTTTTTTCCTTCTAGCTGGACACAGTTTTATTTATTTATTTTTATGTGGCTCTGAGGATCGAACCCAGTGCCTCATGCATGCTAGGCGAGTGCTCTACTGCTGAGCCACAACCCCAGTCCCTGGAATGTTTTATGTAAGAGAATGGAAGATGAATTAGTGTGGAACTTCAGTGTGTAACAAATGTTGATCTCAAGTCAGATTTTTTTTTTTACTTAAATATAATTTTATTGTTTGATACCAGGGATTGAATCCAGGGGTGCTTAATCACTGAGCCACATGCCCAGCCATATTTTTATGTTTTATTTAGAGACAGGGTCTTGGTGAGTTGCTTAGGGTCTCACTAAGTTGCTGAGGCTGGCTTTGAACTTACAGTCCTCCTGCATCAGCCTCCTGAGCTGCTGGGCTGACAGGCATTTGCCTTTATGCCTGGCCAGTTAGGTTTTTTTAACTTTGCCTTTTTTTTTTTTTAATTTTTTTTATCAATGGAACTTTATTTATTTATTTATAAGCAGTACTGAGAATTGAATCTAGTGTCTCACACATGCTAGGCAAGCACTCTACCAGTGAGCCATAACTCTAACCCTTACTTTGCATTCTTATCACAACTAAATAAACCATCAAATTAAATAAGCTTTAATGTGTTTTCCTGAGTCTCTATATCAGATTTGATTTTTTTCTTTTTTTCTTTTCCTTTTGGCAGGTGCAGAAGAAAAAATCCTAACGGAATTTCGGGAAGCTTGCCATATTATACCTCATGACTTCCACCTGCAGGCCATGGTTCGTTCAGCTGGCAAATTAGTTCTTATTGATAAGTTACTTCCAAAGCTTAAAGCTGGTGGCCATAAAGTTCTGATCTTCTCCCAGATGGTACGCTGCCTAGATATCCTAGAGGATTATCTAATCCAGAGGAGGTGAGAAAATAGTCATCCCATCTTTGTGGTTACTGTGTCTTCATAAAACTGCAAAGAAGGCTGGAGTTATAACTCAGTAGTAGAATACTGATCCAACATGCCCGAAGTTCTGGGTCTCATCCCCAGCACTGCTCCTCGAAAAAAAGACTTAAAGCTTCAAAGAATAAGAGAGCCTAGGTTTAGAGTTAACCAGTTATAATAAGAGAAATATTTAGGGCTCTCGCTCTCAATTTATATGATTATAGGTCAACTAGATATATGGATAGGCTGCTGTTGATTCTTATTTGGTTCTTCTGCTTAGCCACTTAATTTTTTTTCCTCTGTGGCCCTCACAAGGTACTTATATGAACGTATTGATGGAAGAGTTAGAGGCAACCTCCGACAGGCTGCTATTGACCGCTTTAGCAAGCCTGACTCAGACCGCTTTGTCTTCTTGCTGTGCACTCGAGCTGGTGGACTTGGTATTAATCTTACAGCTGCAGATACCTGCATAATTTTTGATTCAGATTGGAATCCCCAAAATGACCTACAGGTAAAAGAAGTTATTTTCTTATGAACTAACTGCCTAAGAAAGTTTTCAACATGATCAGTATCTCTTAGACCCTTCAGAAAGTATGGGTTTTTTTTTACTTAGAGGTAGCAGTTAGGTCAGGGGTAAGCAAACTTCTTTTAAAGGAAACTATATTAAATGTAGGCTTTGTGGATTATATGGTCTCAGTTTCAACGACTGACCTCTGCCTCTGTATCAAAGCAGCCATGGACACTGTTAAAGTAAATGGGTAGGACTCTTTTTGAATAAAACTTTATTTACAGAAGCAGATGTTTTTGCTGACCTGGCTTATTAGATGGAGCAATAATTTCATCTTGAAGATGAATCTTGGTTTTGGGTTATTCTCATGGTGCTTTATAAATTTAAATGAATTATGAATTGATATTATGTGTCTTTTACACTTCCCCTCAATTTTATGTTACCTTTTTTGCTTTCCTTCCATTTTTTTAAAAAAAAAAAACAGGCCCAGGCACGGTGTCATCGAATTGGGCAAAGCAAAGCGGTGAAGGTGTACCGTCTCATCACTCGTAATTCCTATGAAAGGGAGATGTTTGATAAGGCTAGCCTCAAGTTGGGATTGGATAAAGCTGTACTTCAGTCTATGAGCGGTCGGGATGGCAACATTACAGGAGTAAGTCATAGTCTACAGCTAAGTATGTAGTGAATCAGTGATGGAGATAAAAGCTGGTTTTGTACAGGAATTGACTGCCTTGATTTTCATTTTTTCACAAGTTTTATTATAAATAGTTGTATTAATTATTATTTATTACAATATAATATTATGACATGGTTAGATAATATTCTCTTAGTAGGCTTTTCATCTTTCTCTTGGTGTTTGCAGATCCAGCAATTCTCCAAGAAGGAGATTGAAGATCTCTTAAGAAAAGGAGCTTATGCAGCTATAATGGAGGAAGATGATGAGGGCTCCAAATTTTGTGAAGAGGATATAGACCAGATCTTGTTAAGGCGAACGACAACCATTACCATTGAATCTGAAGGAAAAGGTTCTACCTTTGCCAAGGCATGTTTTGTCTTTGTCAGATAATAGAAAAGCAGAGATAGAGAAAGGAATCCCCAGGATTTAAATGGTTTTTAAGTGCAGTTGCTGATTTCCCATTGCTTAAAAACACATTGTATTTAACTTTACTCTGCTTTTGTTCCTCACTAGGCAAGCTTTGTTGCTTCTGAAAATAGAACAGATATTTCTCTGGATGATCCCAACTTTTGGCAAAAATGGGCCAAAAAGGCTGACTTAGACATGGATGTGCTCAATAGCAAGGTGAGCTTATTCTTCCTTTAGGGAGGAAGTGTTGCAGAAGACTCACAACTTTCAGTCTTTGTAGTTGCTCTGTTTCTTCAATGCTAATCAGTTTATGAATGGTATATTGTTATATACGAGGGCTATCATAAAAACTTTCTACCTTGGAGAACTTAGAAAATTATTTAGATATCTACCACTTAATTCTGTTTCCTGAGTCACCGCAGATGATTTAATGTGTACAAAAAGAACACCAAAAAAATCTGAGCATTCTCATATCCAAAACTATTCAATCCATAATCATCTTAATTCTTTGATAATGAACATATCATGGATAGTTATTTCTCCTTCTATTTTCTGCATAGAATAACTTGGTGATTGACACACCTAGAGTACGGAAACAGACCCGCCACTTCAGCACTCTGAAAGATGATGACCTAGTAGAATTCTCTGATTTGGAAAGTGAGGATGATGAACGACCACGCTCCCGTAGACATGACCGCCATCATGCCTATGGGCGCACTGACTGCTTTCGGGTAGAAAAGCACCTGTTGGTATATGGGTAAGAACCCATCTTGTCACTAAAAGTAGAACATTCACATTCTGATTGATATATGGCCACATAGAAGATCATATGAAAATTTTTTTTATAACAGTGCTTTTCAAGATTTTGTCTTCCATATTTTGGGAGATGTGATTCTGGAAGTCAGAGGAATATCATTGAATTAGAGTTCCCCCCCAAAATATTATTATGTTTCCTTTTCTGTTTTTTAGTTGGGGACGGTGGCGAGATATTTTGTCTCATGGACGCTTCAAACGACGTATGACTGAACGAGATGTGGAGACAATATGTCGTGCCATCCTTGTGTACTGTCTGCTACACTACCGTGGGGATGAAAATATCAAAGGCTTCATTTGGGACTTGATTAGCCCTGCTGAAAATGGCAAGACAAAAGAATTGCAGAATCATTCAGGTAATTATCAACCCTTTAGTTTTTATCTTTTTAAAAGTTATGTAGTCCTTTGCAAGTCTAAGGGTTTTTCTCAATCCAAGTCTTCAATGTCTCCCCTTTCCCAGGTCTATCTATCCCTGTGCCCCGTGGACGCAAGGGGAAAAAAGTAAAGTCACAAAGTACTTTTGATATACATAAGGCAGATTGGATCCGGAAGTATAACCCTGATACTCTGTTCCAAGATGAGAGTTATAAGAAGCACTTGAAACATCAGTGTAACAAGTAAGGATGGAATTTAGTCAAGATATGTCCCTCCTCAAACTTTGTACCCTGTTAGTAAGCCACCTTTTTCTTCCCACCCTTCTAGGGTACTTTTGCGAGTACGAATGTTATACTACCTAAGACAGGAGGTTATTGGAGACCAGGCAGAGAAGGTGTTAGGGGGTGCCATTGCCAGGTAAAGTATTTCTGTGATTTCTTTGTTTGGTTTTTATGCCCTGCTTTATTCTAGGAATAATGGTCTACTTATTCTTTTTGTACTAACTTTGTAATATCTGACAATTTTCATATTAGATTTCTAATCTAATACTTTGACACTAGTGCAAGGAAATAGGTCAGATACATGAACATTTAAATTGATAGATAAAGGAATATAACTGTAATAATCTTTCCAAGGATTATCACTTTAATTTCCGTCATTGATTGCTTTCCTGACTGTGCCCTCTTATATACCTTTAGTGAGATTGACATATGGTTCCCAGTACTGGATCAATTGGAGGTTCCAACAACATGGTGGGACAGCGAAGCTGACAAATCCCTACTTATTGGAGTCTTTAAGCATGGTAAGTATCTCTTTTAGCCTCTTTCCTTTTGAAGGTTTTTGTTCACAGATGGGACATTTATCAAAATGCTCATACATAATCATATTATCTCATTGACCTTGAACTCTTTTTTTTTTTTTGGAACTGGGGTCAAACCCAGAGCTTCAGGTATACAAGTGATCTTCGGTAAATTAAATTTGTATTTGAGAAAGAAACTTATTCATAAAAATCCAAAGCAGAACAGTTAATTCCGCTGAATAGATGTTGAAGGAACAATAGGTAAATAGTTAAATCTCAAAGTAGGGAGTCTCCCATGTGTTCTTTAATCACTTTTACCCAGTATGTTACCCCACTGAATATTGTAGGATCTATAAGTTAAGGTTCCACAAATCAGGAGGTAAGACATGCCCACTCCTATTAATGATAAACAATTATTTTGATGGTTTTCTGTGGCTTGCCAAAAATGTTATATTTGTCTAAAGTCCCATTTGTCTAAATGCTCAATATTCATGGCATTTTAGGTTTAAACAATATGAAAAAGACTTTAATTTGTAGTTTTGCCTATTAACAAATCCTAGGAATTAAAAGCAGTGAGTGCTGCACAATGCCATGAGTTCAACTGCCAGCACCAAAAAAAAAAAAAAACAGTGCTAACTGCCAGCACTTTCATGTATTGGAATATTTTTCTTTTTCTTTTTTTTTTTTTAAGTACTTTTTAATATTTATTTTTTAGTTGTAGATAGACAGCATGCCTTTATTTCACTTACTATTATTATTATTTTTTTTTAATGTGGTGCTGAGGATTGAACCCAGTGCCTCACATATGCAAGGCGAGCGCGCTACCACTTGAGCCAAATCCCCAGCCCCTAAAATAAGTACTTTTTAAGGGTACTCTTGCCCCTCCCAAACATGCTGTGCAGGGAGTTCTGGATCTTTTTCTCACTTTCTCTTTAAATAAACTTTCTGCTTGCTTGCTTAAATGAGAAAAGTACTTTTCAAGCTCTTGCCTAACATGGATGAAGTCCTGGGTTGTACCCCCAGCAATGCCAAAAAATAAAAACAAATGCATAAAATTCCTGTTTACTTTGATGAAATAATAGTAATAGCATTTGATCTACGTGTTATTGAGAAATTTAATGGAACAAGAAAAACTGAACATTTGTAGTCTTAGATTTTCTTGTGAGACAGAGTCCAAAAGTCCTGAAATGTGTTCATTCATTGATTTAGTATTCATCAAATATTCACTGAGTACTTATTTACTTGCAGGTACAAGTTTCTAATTCTTCATATGAGAATGTGTGGCCTTAATTATTTGACTTCAGTTTCTTTTCTTTTTTTTTTTTTTTTTTGTGGTGCTGGGGATTGAACCCAGGGCTTTGTACATGCGGTCAAGCACTCTACCAACTGAGCTACATCCCCAGCCCTGACTTAAGTTTCTTCATCTTTTCAATAAGAATAATGCCAAAAAGATTACTGATAAATTGCTGTGTACACCTACCACCATAATGTAAATTTATTTCTTAATTAAATTCTTCATAGTCATTAGGTTAAAACCCTTCATGACTCTAAATTACTATAAAAAAAAATTAAGACCCAAAAGCTGTCCAAGTTAATGTTAATTATATTCTGCATTATGAGCAAAGTAGTTCATGTATTCTAATTTTTTCAGTAGTCAGAGTTAGCATAATGGCAAAACAAATCTCTTATTTTCTTCATTTTAAGACCTTTTTTCTTTTAGGCTATGAAAAATATAATACTATGAGGGCAGACCCAGCCTTATGCTTTCTGGAAAAGGCTGGTCGACCAGATGACAAAGCCATTGCAGCAGAACATCGAGTGTTGGATAATTTCTCTGACATAGTAGAAGGGTAAGTTTTATTATTTAATTCTTTTAAACCTTTGCATGTACTCTACAAAGGTAATTAGTTGCTTGTGCTAAAAGGTAACATAGTTCTAACTTTGAACACATTGAAATTCTTAATGATACTTATTTGTGGTAAATCCTTAATAAAGAGTAAGGGTCAGGAGATAGGACTCTACAAACTGGTATATTCTATACATTAACTGGTATATTCTATACATGGGGCTGTAGCGTTAGCTTTAGCTTAGTGGCAAACCACTTGCCTACCATGTGAGGCATTGGGTTCAATCCTTAGCACCACATAAAAATAAATAAATAAACAAACAAATAAATAAATAAATAAATAGCTTCTGTCCATCTACAACTACAAAGAAAAATAAAAAATAAAAATTATTTTAAAAAATTAAAATACAACTAAGTGGGGAAAGCACTATTACTCCCAAATGGCTTATTTAATATTCTGTTCAATTTGTTTAATTTTTAATACTTTTCTACACAGTTACAGAAGCTGCTAACTATGTCATCTCCCAATAGTGCCTAACACATAAAAGTATTTATTCTGCTTGACTTCATGTCCCAGTGACGAGTTGCCATGCTGATACTGAGACACCAGGTAGGGCATCATTGCCCTCGTTTGGGTGCCAGTGAGTTTAACAAAACTTCTCCATGGAGACCTGAAGGACATGTGAAATTGTTAGCTTAATTAATGAATACCTATCCATTCCTGCATGACTGAGAAAATTCTCTTAGATGAATATATATATAATTTCAGCTTGCATTGTATAGGACTCTCAAAAGAAATTGGGTCATTTATTCATTGCAAATCACTTATTATGTCACCCTTCTGCTCAATAAAACAAAGTAGTGAAAACAAACAAAAGCATGGACCATTCAAGTGAAATAATAAATGAACATTATGGAAGAGAGGGAGTAGAATGAAAAGGGGCTATCAAAAGAGAGTATTCTGATCAAAGTATTTCATTTTAAGCTAAGCATGGTGTTGCATGCTTGTAGTCTCTGCTATTTCAGAGGCTGATACAGAATGATCATGTGAACCCACAGGTTTGAGACCAATCTGGATAACATAGTGTTAACCTATATTTAACCAAAGAAAGAAAAAAGTATTTCAGATTCAAGAAGTTATGAATGGCACTTTGCCATTTTCTCAGAAATGATCTGTCATTCTTCAAGCATTATATTAAAAACTGTTCGGTAGCAAATTACATGTTTGGCCAGATCTTTATCCTAGGTTCTTCTTATTGCTTTAACATTTTCTTTTGCCTCTTAATAATATTAGGGTTGACTTTGATAAGGATTGTGAAGATCCGGAATATAAACCACTCCAGGGCCCCCCAAAGGACCAAGATGATGAGGTAAGTAATTTTCATTTAATCTAGCTTTTCTCTACTGTAAATAGTTGTCCTCTCCCGTTCTTTAAATCTTTAAGTTTTTTGATTAATTTATAATAGAAATTAGATACCATTTGACACTATAAAGAATGAATAGAGAAGCATTATAAAATGCCAATGTGGGAAGATCTGGGATAGCTTTGTGGAGGAAGTGGCCTCAAACTGTATGTTAAAGGATATTACTTACATGTAAATTCCTAAATCTCATTATCTTTGTACCATTGATAAGAACTGATCTTTCAAGTTTTACTTTCCTGTTCTTTTTTTAGTTGGTTGCTTCTAAATTTTTGTGAGGGCTCCTTTCATTAGCAATTTTTCTTGAGGGAATCGTGTATGGTGTCATACCCCTGCAATCCCAGAGACTTAGGAGGCTGAGGCAGGAGGTCACAAATTCACAGCCAGCCTCAGCGATTTAACAAGACCCTGTCTCAAAATAAAAAATTTATTTAAAGGACTGAGATGTGGCTCAATGGTTAAACACCCTTGAGTTTAATCCCTGGTACCAGAGAATTTGAGAGGATTTAGTGTTGTTGTAGAGCATTTGCCTAGCATACATGAGGTCCTAGGTTTAATTCCAAGCAACACGAAAAAAAGAAAATGAAAAATATTTTGATTCCTTGATGCCACAGAAGGACATCCATAAGAAAATGATTTCAGAATTCTAATTTTCCCCCTTTTTTTGTCCACTCCATCCTGTGGTTTGCATCTCCTTTTCTAGGGTGATCCCTTGATGATGATGGATGAAGAGATCTCAGTGATCGATGGAGATGAAGGTAAACTTCTAGGTCACGTGGTACAGTTTTGGGTGGGGTTGGAGATGAGGAATTATTGACTGGATTTTATCCTGTCTGGGATTTCTAAGAGCATTGCCTTTGAGTGGGCTGACATATAAGTATTATCTCTAATATCTTTTCTGTTCTTCCTACTCATTATTCTGTGTTTTTGTTGTTGTTTTGTTTTGTTTTTTACCACAGCCCAGGTGACTCAACAACCAGGACATCTGTTTTGGCCTCCAGGGTCTGCCCTAACAGCTAGGCTTCGGCGCCTAGTAACAGCATATCAGCGCAGCTACAAAAGAGAACAAATGAAAATTGAGGCTGCAGAGCGTGGGGACCGGCGACGGAGGCGTTGTGAAGCAGCTTTTAAGCTAAAAGAAATTGCACGGCGAGAGAAACAACAACGGTAAACCATAGCTGAAAATTTGAGCTGAGCTATAAATTAAAAAAAAATACAAAAGGATGGATCACCTTTGCCTTGAATTGTTACCTCTCTGGCTCTTGAGAATCTCACTTATGTGGAATATAATAACCCCAGAAGGGTCTCTTGTGTAGACATTCTCTTTGAGTTAATTGCCTGCGTTATTTTCCCCCTTTCTTTGTTTGGTATTTTCTACATGTTATATAGTACCTCTCACTGAATCTTCTTTTTGGTTTGTTTGTTTGCCTGTGTATTTTCAGGTATTATAAACCATTCAAAGTAACAACCAGTTTTCCCTAGTTCCCCCAATCACTGTTGCCTTACTCCTCTTCCCTTTGTAGCTGGACAAGGCGTGAACAAACTGATTTCTATCGAGTAGTTTCTACTTTTGGTGTGGAATATGACCCTGATGCTATGCAGTTCCACTGGGATCGCTTCCGCACTTTTGCTCGACTGGACAAAAAAACAGATGAAAGCCTTACCAAGTATTTCCATGGTTTTGTGGCCATGTGCCGTCAAGTATGCCGCCTTCCCCCAGCAGCTGGAGATGGTAAGATTGGAGAGTCTAGGGTGAGTGGTAGTGAATGGCTGTAGAACAGCTCTGGTTCACTTCTCTTTCTACTCCTATTTTACAGAACCCCCAGACCCAAATCTGTTCATTGAGCCCATCACAGAGGAGAGGGCCTCGCGGACTCTGTACCGAATCGAGTTGCTTCGGCGCTTAAGGGAACAAGTTCTATGCCACCCGCTTTTGGAAGATAGACTGGCATTGTGTCAGCCTCCAGGTCCTGAATTGCCCAAATGGTGGGAACCTATTCGTCATGATGGAGAGCTTCTACGAGGGGCAGCCCGCCATGGGGTGAGCCAAACAGACTGCAACATCATGCAGGACCCAGACTTCTCTTTTCTGGCTGCCCGTATGAATTATATGCAGAACCATCAGGCAGGAGCACCAGCTGCATCCCTATCACGCTGCTCTACTCCACTGCTACACCAACAGTATACCTCGCGCACTGCCTCACCATTGCCTCTGCGCCCAGATGCTCCTGTTGAAAAGTCACCAGAGGAGACAGCTGCCCAGGTCCCCAGTCTGGAGAGTCTGACTTTAAAACTAGAGCATGAGGTGGTGGCCAGGAGCCGACCAATCCCACAAGACTATGAGATGCGAGTAACCCCCTCTGACACTTCCCCTCTGGTGTCCCGGAGTGTCCCACCAGTCAAACTGGAGGATGAGGATGATTCAGACTCTGAATTGGACTTGAGCAAGCTTTCACCATCATCCTCTTCTTCCTCATCCTCATCCAGCTCCAGCTCCAGCACTGATGAGAGTGAGGACGAGAAGGAAGAGAAGCTAAGTGAGTGCATGTGACAGGCTGTTGGAACTCTTCCCTTTTTCCCCCTCTGCTCTTTTCTTTCTTTTCTAAATGCATCCTCTTGAGAGAGATTCACATTTTGAGTTGATAAAATGTCAAAAGAGATCTGTTATTCTTTGGGCCTTTATTCAAAGCCCACACAATACCATTCCAATTTAACATTATTCTGCCATATTTGCTCACATGTTCTGTGTGATCTCTAGCTGCTGACCGGTCCCACCCCAAACTCTATGATGAAGAGAGTCTCCTGTCCCTCACTATGTCCCAAGATGGATTTCCAAATGAAGATGGAGAACAAATGACACCTGAGCTTCTGCTACTACAGGAAAGGCAAAGAGCTTCTGAGTGGCCCAAGGTAACAGCTTAATCCTTGGATATGCTAGAGTCAGAAGTAAAATGTAACATTGTATACAAGGAACTGATGGTTCTGGGTTTTGAGTTGTTCTGTTGTTATTTTTACTACTACTAATGCGTGTTTTTTCGTGAAACTCCTTCTGGTTGCTTTAGGGATCTGATATTACAACCACCCTTCTTTCTGCCTTATGATTTTTACCCATCCTAGTAATGATGGCATTGTTGTATGTCAGAGGATTACATAGTGCTCAGACCCTTAAAATGGTGTTTATTTCTTTTCTTCCCACTCAGGATCGTGTCTTGATAAACAGAATTGACCTCGTCTGCCAGGCTATACTCTCAGGGAAATGGCCTTCTAACCGCAGGACCCAAGAAATGATAACAGGAGGAATTTTGGGGCCAGGCAACCACTTACTAGACAGTCCCTCATTGACTCCAGGAGAATATGGTGACTCTCCTGTCCCCACACCACGAAGTAGCAGTGCAGCTTCCATGGCAGAGGAAGAAGCATCTGCAGTCACCACAGCAGCAGCTCAGTTCACCAAACTTCGTCGAGGCATGGATGAAAAAGAGTTTACAGTTCAGATCAAAGATGTAAGCTCAGCATGTAGGCAGTGGGAATTGAAGGAGGCTGTCATTCTTATTAGCCAGTTTCACTAGTAGCATACTAAACATATTTGGTTATCTAACTTTAAAAATGAAAGAAGGAAAAAAATATTAGAGCTCTCAAAGATACATTCAAGGAGTCATTGAAGTTAGGGAAGGGATCTTCTGATGACTAGATTAAAAGAATGTTTTGTTTTGGCAATTCTGGGGGCTAGAAGCCAGGGCTTTTTTCATGCTAGGCAAGTGCTCTGCCACCGAACCACATCACTATCCCAGAAATAGTTTTTAAGGAAATCTATTCTGCACTAGGCTTTTAGGAGGCTAAATTCTAGATCTAAGATCAATTAAAAAAAAAATAAAATCCAGTTTGGGGGAAGCTTTTTGATTACCTGAGTATTGTGAGCCTCTTGTTAAAATAAGAAAAAATCATTCCAGCTGAAATTAAGCCAGTGGTATTCTGTTTTATATATGCAAATTTTTATTTTCCTGATTCTCTTTCCTTTTGAACCTTACTAGCCAATCATTGAGTTACTTAAAGAAGAAAAGCTTTATAAATTGGTATGTGATAGGATAGTAGGATTTTTGCCCCTGTGATGAACTGCTGTGCTAATTCTGACATACCAGATAGGGGGCTTTAAAACTGTTGGGTGTTAAAATGAACACTACTTCTCAGAAATCTAGATCAAGAAATTAAATCTAAGGAAAATGTTTTATTACATATGTGATTTCTACCCTTTAGTCAGATGGCCATCCTTCTCGCCATCACTGAACCAAAGGATGAGGTTTAGCCCAGGTCTCCCAAAGCTTAATCTTTACCTTTAAAAACATGTGCCATATGATGTTTTGGGTGGGTGGGTTTGTCTTCCTAGGAGGAAGGATTGAAGTTAACATTCCAGAAGCACAAATTGATGGCTAATGGAGTAATGGGAGATGGACATCCATTGTTTCATAAGAAGAAGGGAAACAGAAAGAAGCTAGTAGAGGTAAGTGGTAGAAAAAAACCTTTAACCTCATGATTAAACAAGCTCTTCTTCTTATGTCAAGTACTTGGTGAAAGCAGTTGGGATTGAGGGATTAAATGATGATTAGAGTTATGACTACCATTGGCTCTGTTACCCTTCCCTCCCTGCCCCAAAAAAGCGTATGTGCTCATGGGGGTGGATTCTGGGTTTGCAGCTGGAGGTGGAGTGCATGGAAGAGCCTAATCACCTTGATGTGGACCTGGAGACCCGGATCCCTGTCATCAATAAGGTGGATGGTACTTTGCTGGTGGGTGAGGATGCCCCTCGCCGGGCTGAACTGGAGATGTGGTTACAGGGTCATCCAGAATTTGCTGTTGATCCCCGATTTCTAGCGGTGAGTGACAGTTCCATTTAGCCAGATTTTAAATCATTCTGTTGGTGTTTCAACTTTATGTTAGAGAGAAAGCATGATGTGTCCTATCATTTTTTTCTGCATCTGCAAGATGGGGGTAATGATACATAGTCTTAGCTGGGCCTGGTGGTGCAGGCCTATAATCCCAGTGACTTGAGAGGCTGAGGCAGGAGGATCACAAGTTCAAGGCCAGCCTCTACAATTTAAGAGAAACGCTGTCTCAAAATATGAAGGACTAGGAATATATCTCTTTGGCAGAGTATCTCTGGGTTCAGTCCCCACTACCAAAAATAATAATACCCAGTCTTCCTTCCTCATAAAATGATTATGGGTATCAAAATAGTGTTAAAAGCACTTCTTAAATGCTAGCCAGTTATTTACTATTAAACTATTACATAAACCACCTAATTTGGGGGAAGAGATCCGTTTGATGGCAGTTTTCCACTAGGACTAGTCCTTATATGCAAAAAAAAAAAAATTTATTGCCAAAGACATTAAAGTACCTTATAATTACTCCCGAGATGATTTCTGTTCCTCTAGGGTAACTGATACTTTCCTATTACAGTATATGGAGGAGCGCAGAAAACAGAAATGGCAGAGATGTAAAAAAAATAACAAGGCAGAATTGAACTGTTTGAGTATGGAATCAGTACAGACGGCTAACTCTAGGAATGGAAAAAAGGTAAGACTGAAGCACTACCACTTTGGACTCAAACTAGTTGTCAAAGGCTTTTAACAAATATTATAACAAATATTATATAATATATAATTTTTTAAATCTTCAATAGATCTTTCTGAGTAAAATTACCTTTGATTCACCTGTAAAAAATGTGGAATATATTTATTGGTATTCTTGCAGTACTGTGTATCTTCAGCTCTAATTGAGCATAAAGTTCTAAACATTCAATTTTAGTATTTTAAACATAAATACAAGAATTAGTAAGATATGTAGAACCTTCAGGGTTTATCCTGCTCTCCTCAAAACTAAAGATATTTTTGGAAAATCCTTAGACCTTTTCAATATCTACACCCTCAAAAGTAGGGGGGTGCTGGTTTTTCTTTTTCTTTTTTTTAATATTTTTTAGTTGTTGTTGGACACAATACCTTTATTTTATTTATTTATGTGGTGCTGAGGTTCAAACCCAGCAGTTTGCTCGTGGTAGGCGAGCGCTCTACTGCTGAGCCACAATCCCAACGCCCTGTTCCCGTTTTTTTCTTTTCTTCTTTTTTTTTTTTGCAGTGCTAGGGATTGAACCCAACGCCTCACACATGCTAGGAAAGTGCTCTACCACTGTGCTACATCCCAAACGAATCCTTTAAATTTTTTTTATAATTCTATATATTTTAGATGTGATTTGTGGGACCTACTTAGGAAAACAGTCATGGAGTTTCCCAATATATGAAGTTGAGAATTACTAACAATAATGTCAGTAATAGAAAATCAATTTTGGTTAGTAGGTTATTCCATATTTCCAAATGTACTCATCCCTTTATATAAGTCTTTATAAAACACACACCTTTCCCCCAGTATAACTTGTTCTTGCCTCTTATACTTTTTTCCCTAGTCTCTCATGAAAATCATGACCATATCACTTAACTCTTTTTTTTTTTTTTCAGAGACAGAGTTTCACATCGGGCATGATGTGCATTCCAGCAACTCAGGAGGCTGAGGTAAGCCAACATGTGCAATTTATCAAAACCCTATCTCAAAAAGGGCTGGGAACTGGGCACGGTGGGTATGCTTGCAATCCCAGGGGTTCGGGAGGCTGAGGCAGGAGGATCGCGAGTTCAAAGCCAGCCTCAGCAAAAGCAAGGCGCTGAGCAACTCAGTGAGACTCTGTCTATAAATAAAATATGAAATTTAGGGCTGGGGATGTGACTCAATGGTCGAGTACCCCCGAGTTAAATACCCAAAAAAGGGCTGGGAGTAAATAGAGCCAAGTGGTAGAGTACCCTGAGTTCAAACCCCAGTACTGCCAAAAAAAAAAAAAAAAAAGGAGAGAGAGAGAAGATAGATTGAGTCCAACCTGGGCTATGTTGCCCAAACTGGCTCCAAACTCCTGAGTGCAAGTGAGCCTGTTGCCTCAGCCTCTCAGTAACTTTTTTTTTTTTCCTTTGGTATGGGGGATTGAACCCAGGGGCATTTAACTAGAGCCACATCCCCAGCCCTTTTTTGTGTTTAAGACAGGGTCTCATTGAGTTGCTTAGGGCCTCACTAAGTTGCTGAGGCTGGCTTTGAGCTTGAAATCTTCCTGCCTAAGCCTCCTGAGCAGCTGGGATTATAGGTGTGTGCCACTACACCTGACAAAAAAATTTTTAATGTAGAATTAACAGTGAATCTAACACTACACTCTGACTGGAATCTGCAGGATTTTAGACATTATCAAATTACATTTTTAAATTTTTTTTTTTTTTGAGTCAGAAATGTATGTTCCCATGTCAAATGTTAGGCTTAGATTGGAAATAAAGCCTAGAGAAATATTTATCAACTTGCAAGAGTTTAAGCCTGTTCACCAAGTATTGTGGTTAGGCCAGCTGCAAAACAGAGGTGCTAAAAGCAATAACTTCCAGACTCAAATGAATATAATAAAAATTTATAGTCAGAACATCTAGAAGAAACCATTTAAAATTCAGATATGTAAAGGTTATGGGTTTTTTTTAAATTTTTTTGTAGTTGTAGATGGAGAGCATGCCATTATTACATTTGTCTTTTTATTTAATGTGGTGCTAAGGATTGAACCCAGTGCTTCACACAGGCTAGGCAAGTGCTCTGCCACTGAGCTATAACCCCAGCCTTTTTTGTTTGTTTTTTATAATGTGGAAAATTAAATTAATTTGGTAAGGTGCTACCCATAATCTTTTTGTGTTGCCAGCATCCAGCAGTCTTAATCTGACCCTGCTCTTATGTGGAAATAGATGATAATGTTATAAATATCAGTTACGCTACACTTCACATAAGATCATATGAACACCCTGCTTTCAGTAAACATTTAAATGAATTTTTTCAATGCATGTACCGAATCATTCACTGTCTTACCCAGATCTCTTAGCAAAGGTAAGCATTTTGAAATGATTAGATGGAATGTAGGTACAATATAGTCATGGGGGGAAAGCAAAAATTCCTGGTTCACACAATCAAATTCTCTGTCTTCAGCATCAGACTGCATGAACCAGCTAAGTCTGCCATTTCCTTTTCCTCATTGCCACCAGTCAAGCCTAGTCTGACTGGACCTGTTTTGCCTTTCCTATTCCCTACCCCCTTCTTTCTTTCTTTTCTTCTTACTATCTTCTGTTCCTTCCTCCCAGGGTCACCACACTGAAACAGTGTTCAACCGGGTTTTGCCAGGGCCTATTGCATCAGAGAGCAGCAAGAAGCGGGCCCGTAGGACACGACCAGACCTTTCTAAGATGATGGCCCTGATGCAGGGTGGAGGCACTGGGTCCCTATCTCTGCATAATACCTTCCAACACAGCAGTAGTGGCCTACAGTCTGTGTCATCTCTGGGTCACAGCAGTGCCACTTCTACATCTTTGCCTTTTATGCCGTTTGTAATGGGTGGTGCAACATCATCCCCTCATGTAGACTCCAGCACCATACTTCATCACCACCACCACCACCCCCACCCCCACCATCACCACCATCATCATCCAGGCTTGAGAGCCACTGGCTACCCCACTTCACCAGCGACTACCACCTCTGGTACTGCCTTGAGGTTGCCACCACTGCAACCTGAGGATGACGACGATGAGGAGGATGAAGATGATGATGATTTATCTCAGGGCTATGATAGCTCAGAAAGGGACTTTTCACTCATTGATGATCCTATGATGCCAGCCAACTCAGACTCCAGCGAAGATGCTGATGATTGAAGTCCCAGCATGGTCCCCATTGCTTGGGTGGCTGCTGTACTTTAATTTACTCTGGCCCTTGGACTCAGTGGGAGGGGCAGGGGAGATGTGGGGAAACCCAGGACTCCAGGAGGTGAAAAGGAAAAAGAAAACTTGTACCTGATTGCTCCCAATTTTGAGAGGATTGGGTGGGCAGGGGAACTCCTTAAATAATACATGACCACTTCCTCATTTCTGGGGAAGGAAAGGAGACTTAGAGCAGCTGGTGCGCTCACCCCTTCCTAAGACACCTCCATTAACCACAGACTATGTAGCGCTGGCCCTAGCCTCTGGCAGAGCCTGTTCCTGGCCGAACTGTGGATACAGCTGGAGGGTCAGGAACTGTTACCTTCCATCCCCTTGGCATTAATAAATTTAAGTTAATCCTTTTTCACTCTTCCTTGTTCTATATTTGCTCAAACCCAATGTAAGTATTAATTGTATGCATGGTGGCTAATTTTCAACACCTAAAATTCAATGCTGTTGTACTGTCACCTTGGATAGAGCAGATGTTATTGGTACTCATCTAAAGGGTGTATATAAATGTAGGCTGTCTATTTAGCTAAGGGAATGATCCGAGGTAAATAGACAGAATATTCCAAACTTCCAAAAAGTTCTTAGAAGAGACAAGGATGAATTTCATTAACCACGTTTATTTTGTTTCTAATTAACTGAAATCATGGGGCTTTTAGGAAAGCCATAGGATGGTTATCAGTTTTTATGAAGTGCAGCAAGGGACTGGATGAAAGAAAAGGTGCTGTCACAACCTCAGCCCAGGGAAGGGGTTTGGAATAGGAACTAAAGGTTTTTTTGCGCCCGCAAGCCAATTGAACCCTCCTCTTACAGTCTCAATGGCTCAGACTGAACCCTAGGCATTTTATTTTCCTTCTTAGGACCAAGTCCCACCTCTTAGCGTAGGTACTAGTTTATCGCGAGGGTGGGCTCCATTTCCTTGGACTGAGTTCTCCTTCGGCTTGTAGCACTGGACCTAGCTAGCATCAAGGATTCAGCCCTGGAGGAGTACAGAATTTTGCTTTCCCATCACTTCTAGGAGGGGCTCAGCAGGTGCCACTACAGTCTTCCCTCTCCTATCCCACGCCAGATTCCGCTCTTTCCGCTTCCCCTTCTTTCCCGATGGGTGGGGCCCTTACACCAGCGCGCGGCAGCTCCTGTGGGGCAGAGCCTGCCTCCCATCTTCTCTTCTCCAGCAGCTACAGCCTTGGCAAAAATTCGGAGCTCCTGGAAACTACGGCGGGGCGGAGAGTAAGGGCGGGGGCAGAGCGTCACGTGATAAATCGACTCGCTTGTGGCGGTGGCGAAGTTGACCAGAAACCCCGCGAAAATCGACTTTTTTCTTCGCTGCACATTTTGTTGATTTCCCCCTTTTTATCATTGTCTCTGCCCACCCTCCACGGAGACAGAATTTAAAAAAAAAAAAAACTTAATCGCTATAGGGACCCGGAAGCGGAAAGGGCATTTTTGAGGTTGATACTTCCGGGTCACTGAGAGAGTGCGGGATTCCGGGGCCGAAAGCGGGTGGCGGAGCTGGGACCTCGCGTGATTCTCGGAACCCGAGGAGAAGCGGTGTCCTGGGCGATGGCTGTGACTCTAGACAAAGACGCTTATTATCGGCGAGTTAAGAGACTGTACAGCAATTGGCGGGTAAGGAAGATCCTGTAATTTCTCCCACGGCGCCCCGCTCAGCCATCCCATAATAACCCTGTTACTCGGCGCCCTTTTTTTTTTTTTCCTCTCTTTTCGTCTAGAATTCCCGGGTTTAGTGTCGCGCCCTTTTCATTGCTCTCGAATCACTCACCGCAGGACGCAACCAGTGCCACCTGGTAATAGGGAACCCCCCCGCAATTGCCCTACCCTGCGATCACCATCTTCCCCGCGTGCCGGCCCAGGTCATGCATAACAGCCACCTCTCGCCGTCTCTTCCCGCCCTAGAAGAAGCAACATCTTTCCCTCCCACTCTAATCACGCATTACTGATCCTCCTGCGGTGTTCACACACACCCACGCACTCTCTGTCCCTCAAGAACCACGGTGTTCCACGCCAGGTCCCGCCAGAATTAAACCATCTTTGTAAAGAAGGGATGGAGGGGCAAGGGGAATGTGGGTCGAGCCCTTCGCTTTTATCGTTTGCGGGCCTTTTGCTGGAGTTAAAAGAAATAATGCTCACACGCAACTGCTTCGTGTCTTAGGCCCTGCTGTGAGTAACAACAGACCTAACACTGAAAAGCCTTAGGCATTAGTAATGTAAAACCAAAACAAAAACATTGTGATGCTGAAAACCTAATTAGCTTCCCAAGCTGGTAGGTATCTGGGGCACGTGTTCAGAAAAACGGTGGCAGATCTTAGTCTTTCATTAAAAATTGGGCAGTTTTGCTGCTTTAAAAACGTACATAGTTAAAACTTATTTTTAACGATAGTAATTTATTAACTGAATAGTTTGATTGCATGCTGTGATGCAGCCTGAGCTGTATAACCTGTCTGGCCTCAAACAGTGCTACCAAGGGAAGACATAACTATAATGACTTTAGAAACCTGAAAATGTTCTGACAAAAATGACCAACCGTGATTTCAGCATTGAAAATTATCCTTAAGATTGATCCTCTGCTGAAGGAAAGCTATAAAAATTGGTTATTTTCCTGCCATTCATAAAAAAGATACTTGCTTATGCTTGTTTTTGAGTCTGAGTTAGATAATTGAAGATAAAATGGATTCTCAGTTGCATTTTTAAATACTTTTTAAAATTTTTTTAGTTTTTGGTGGACACAATATTTTACCTTTATGAGGTGCTGAGGATTGAACCCAGTGCTCATGCATGGTAGGTGAGCACTCTACTACTGAGCCACAATCCCAGCTCCCTCGGTTACATTTTATTAAAAGTAAAAAATAAGAACTCCATGCTAGATGAATGCTGAACATAAATTTTGTTTTGAATTTTTTTCCCCTGGTACTGGGGATTGAACCCAGGTGGGCTTTACCACTGAGCTACACCCACAGCCCTTTTTATTTTTGAGACAAAGGGTCTTCCTAAGTTTCTAAGGCTGGCCTCAAACTTGTGATTGTCCTGCCTCAGCCTCCCAAGTTGCTGGGATTACAGGCCTGTGCCTTCACAGCTGTTTTGAAATTTTTATTGTTTAATTTCTATCAAGTGACTTTACAGCCTTACTATCACATATTTATATTTGAACATAATGTGTGTGAGTGAAAACTTTTTTTTTTAATTTATTTTTTAGGCATAGTTGGACACAGTACCTTTATTTTATATTTATTTTTATGTAGTACTGAGGATTAAACCCAGGGCCTCACATGCTAGGCTAGCACTCTGCTGCTGAGCCACAACCCCAGCCATGATCGAAAACTTTTTTCAAGTATATTCTAATCCTTATATGTTGGTAATAATAAGAAGACCTCTCTTCCATCCATAAACCCTTAAATTAAACACCTTTGATGTCGTTTCTAGCCCCAGTGATTCAGATTTCATCAAGTTATTTCATTTTAAAGTTAATGTAAACAAAAGGCTTTATTGTTTCTTAATTACAGTTTTCATAACTTACATCCTAAAAGAAAAAGTGTGATACCATGGTTTTTTTTTTTTTAGATAAAGTGTGATACCATGGTTTTTTTTTTTTTTTTTTTTTTTTTTTTTTTAATCTGAGGAGAAATTTATAAAATTTATAAAACATTAACCCTTGTGTTTCTAATATAGTCATCCCTAGGTTTTGGTGTCTTGGGGGGTTGGTTCCTGGACCCTGCCCTCCTTAAGTATACCCAATCCTCAGGTGCTTAAGTAGCATATATAAAATGGTGAAGTATTTTAATATAATCTATGCACATCTTATACTTTAAATCATCTCTAAATTACGATACCTACAATTAAGTGCTCTACAAATGGTTATTGTACTGTTTAAGGAATAATGCTAAGGAAAAAATACTTTTCATGTCCTAAAGAGATATCATCTGTCATCTTCTCCCCCACCCCCAAAATATTTTTAATCCATAGTAGGTTTAATCTTCAGATGAGAAGTTCATACATGGCAGGTTGAATGTAGTGCTATTTTAGAGACTGTCATGTCATTTAGTCAAAAATCAAACATAAGACTAGGAGTATAGTTCAGTGGTAGGGAGTGCTTACCTAGTTTCAGAGGCCCTTGGTTAGATCCCCAACTCCCCCCACCACCACCACCAAAAGAAAATCACACAGGAGACCTCCATTGTGACTAGAATTTGTTAATAGTTTATGACTCTTCTTGGACATTTGAGTGTTGTCCATTCTTAAATCTTAGTTATTAAGTTAGAACTGCTAGGAATAAAAAGGGTTTGCAGCACCTGTATGGTTCTGCTTTAAAAAAAATCCCAGTGGAGACAGGCATAATAGTATATGCTTGTAATCCCACCTATTGGGAAGCTAAAGCAGGAGAATCTCAATTTTGAGGCTACTGAGCAACTTCATGAGACCCTGTTACAAAATGAAAGGGGCTGAGACTGGACAAGTGGCACACGCCTATGATCCCATTGGTTCAGGAGACTGAGGCAGGAGGATTGAGAGTTCAGGCCAACCTCAGCAATTTAGCCAGGCCCTAAGCAACTCAGTGAGACCCTGTCTCTAAATATTTTTTAAAAGGGCTGGGGAGATGGCCCAGTGGTTCCAGTGCCCCTGAGCTCAATCTCTAGTACCAAAAAAATAAATAAAATAAAATGGGCTGGGGTATAGCCTACTTGTAGAGTGCCCCTTGGTTCAATCCCCAGTACCAACCTTAAAAAAATCCTAGGTGGTTGTGGTGGAGCATGGAAATGGCCTGTGGATTTCTCTCCTCTGTCCTCCTCTTACTGGGTACTTAATCAGGGATGTTCAGCATGTTCATGATTATGACATTTTAGTGTAATATGGTTTATACTGCTCAGGGCAGGGGGAAACAAAAGAGGTTAATCATTCTGGGGTTCTAGCTGCTTTGAGGGTGAGTGTTAATGTTCAGGTATACCTATTAATTATTTGAGACCTACTGGCTAGGACATCCTGCTGTAGATAAACCTTGACTACACTCATCTGCCTTTTATCTTGAAGGATTCCACAAAGCTGTTTGCAAAAGAAATACTGATGCATTCATTTATGCAGTTCTTTGCCAACTGTCAGAATTGGAGTGGTGAATGGCTACAACCCCAGAAAGGATATTTGCACCAATGAAGAAAACTAATAAAAAACGAACTTTTTTTTTTTTTTGGTACTGAAGATTGAACCTAGGAGTGCTTAACCACTGAGCCATATCCATTTTAAGACAGGGTCTCACTAAGTTGCTTATGGCCTTGCCAAAATCTAAGGCTGATCCTGAACTAGCAATCCTCCTTCCTCAACCTCTCAAGCCACTGGGATTACAGGC